CTCTACCGGTGACCATGGCGGCACAGACTACGTTTAGACCTCGTGTTGCAGCGAACCGAGCGCTTCCGAATTATGAACCTCCCGCCAGGCTTGATCGAACCTGTTCTCCACCTATCGTTGCTGTTTAGCAACTTTGTTTGGCTCACGGAAGCCTCAATGGAAATTTATTCGCAAAAATTACGTGGCGGTTACTGTTGACCCTCGCCAGAATCGAGAGCTGCACGCGATATAATCATTCGAGCTTACAAATTCTTCCTCGATGACCGGGCTGGAGACCCCAAGGCTGCTGGACGAACGCAAGAGATCATTAGCAAGTATATCTGGGCTTCTAATACCGCGGTTTTCCGCGCCTAGAGAGAACATCGACCGCAAGAAGCATCCAAAACGTTGTCGGTGAGGGATATTTCGCGGGTATAACGTTACATATCAGTACCTTCTAAACTAATAATGAAAACGTAGAAACCGGACGTTGTAGATCGCAGGAGAAGGCCACAGGGCTACGAAGATGTAGCACCAGCCATCCACGCGTATATTGATAAATGCAGTAAAACCGTGATCCTATTACCAGCAGCACTGGCTGCTGAAGAAGTTGCCCAGCAAACGCAGATAATAATCTCTGTTTGAGGTAGAGAAGAGTAGGGACATGATTAAAAAAAATGGACGAATGCGTGCAAGCACATACAAAAAGTCGAAGACGAGTATTTCCAGGCACTAGAGGATGGCAGTATTGAATCTGCCGGCGTCCAAGCCGTAGAAGTCGACCAGATCGTAGAAGAAGCGGCGATGAGAGCTTTTAAAAATTAATACAGGTGATCATTTGAGGATTTGTGGAGCTTCAGTTGTCGAAGTGAAGCCACTCGGACATGAATGTGTAAAAAAGGGTCGATAAGCCTAACCACCATATGTTTTGACGTATGTTTCGATTATCGAGAAAATTAAATACTTGTATTGCGTCAGATCATGAGCTACCCTTACTAGAGCTCTTTCTTCGATATTTCGAGCCATTGAGAGCATTTTTTCAAAGAGGGAAATCACGTATGAGGAGTCGGAATTCGGCAAATCTGACCGCAAATTTAGACTCTACGTCGAAAATTACCTTTTATATATAATTATCTTATACGGAAAGTTATCATATTCTAGGGGTAAAATATCCTGGAAGCTCGGGTTTAACTATTATGACTAGTACATTACACTCTGCATATCGTGAACACTGTCATCTCCACGATTACGCCTGTTGTGATGCCACGCGGCGTCCCAGTCCCATCGAGTTTGTGTTTGTGGGTAACCGGAAACCACGCTCAACATGTGAAACTTGCGCCCAAGCCAAGATCACAAGACGAGCAGCGCCGAAAACGAGCACCAGACCAGGCACGATCAACGCGACCATATGCCATGGAGACCTGACTGGCAAATTCCAGAAGAGCGTCCACGGCAACGTGTACTTTTTCGCGCTCAAATGGAGAGGATTCACGCACGTCTACTTCCTCAAACACAAGGATGAGGCGAAACTGAAGTTCCGAGAGTACGTACTGATGATTCGGGCTCGCTTCGGCAATGAAGCACAGCTACTCGTGTTCCAATCCGACGGAGGCGGAGAATTCTACGGTGATGAATTCGACACCGTCTGCGGTGAGTTTGGTGTATCCCGAGAACAATCCGAACCGCATACCCACTACCAAAACGGAGTGGCGGAACGAACGAACAGGACACTAGCAGATCTCGCCCGGGCAATGCTGCTACACGCTGAACTCGGGAATAAGCAATCAGAGCGGCTGTGTACGTGCGGAACCGTGTTCCGACACGCACAGACCGATCCAAGACTCCGTACGAGAAGTTCTACGGGCACAAACCCGACCTATCCGAGCTCCGTGAGTTTGAACAGCGAGTCGTGGTTAAATTTACCCCGGAGCACCAGTCCACACTGTTCAGATTCAGGCCCAAAGGCCAGACCGGGATATTTGTCGGACATGATGAGATCAGGAAAGGGTACTTCGTGTACGTCAAGCATGGTGGCAACCGTGCTGTCCACTCATGTGACGTGATCTTCCTCTCCACTACCGGACCCGACACGACTGAAAGTCACCCCCACCCTCCCGAACCGGACGAACCGACGATCTGCCATGCTCAGCACGAGACGAACCCAAGAACTAGTGAACGAGTAAGGACTGCCGTCAGCAAGTCCACCGTCGATGCGATCAATGGAGTTGCTGATCTCTGCGATGAGATGTCCGGTCCATATGATTTCGTCGACGGCGGTTGAGGCGGCCACGTACTCGGCAGTCGTGGCGGACTTGGTCACCACCGTTTGCTTCTTGCAAAGCCAGTTTACGGGGTTGCCGTGAACTAGGACGACTACTCCTGATCTTGAGCGTCGGCCTGCCTTGCCGTTGGCCCAGTCAGCGTCGGAGTACCCGCAGACCTGCGGCGATGTCGTCGAGCGCGAGTACGTGATCCCCATTGACAGTGTGGAGCTAACGTAGCGGAGGATCAGTTTTACAGCGTGCCAGTGGGTCTTCGTGGGGTTCTCACAGTAAAGTACTTGTCTTAATTAAGTAAGAAATGGCCTGTCCGTTTTGAATCAATGCCCGTGGGGTACCAGCAGTTTCTAATTGTCTATGTAGCTACATCACCGCAATCTTCCGACAACCACTTCATAGCAGATAAATATCACGCGTGTAGGGAACATCGCTGTGGAACACGTTAAGGCAGCGACTTGGGCTACGGGGAAGCTGATGTCTGGGTGCGTGACTCGGCTGAGGTAGAGTAGAGCACCTACTGCCTGTCGGTACGGCACATCACCGTCCATCTCGCCTCCGGGGTTGGCAGCGTAGAGTATCGTTTTCTGGTGCATCGGCGTGTGGGCATCTCGGCAGCTGTCGATTGCGAATCTTCGGACAATTTCTCCAGCGAGTTGTTCTTGGTCAATTCGTGTTGTTCCTTCCTTGAGGTTTCGTTGGATTCGCATTCCGAGGAACCACGACACCTCGCCCTAATCTTTAATCCCGTACTTGGTCTGAAGTGAATTCATGAGCAGGTCCTTGTCGGCGTCGTTCTCATGACCTATAAGAATGTCATCGACATACACAAGTACAATGAGTGTTAGATGTGGGTGGATGTATACGCACTTGTCGGCCTTTGTAGATTCCAAGCCGAAGTCGAGGAGAAACCCGTGCAACTCCGAAAGCAAATCTCGTCCAGCTTGTTTCAGGCCGTAGAGGGTTTTGAAGAGCTTCCACACCTTGCCTGGGCCGCCCTCTTCAAAGCCTCGGGGCTGTCGGACATAGATAGCCTCTTGGAGTCGCGCCTTCACGAAGGCGGTTGGGACGTCACCTTGGGTGATCTTCAGACTGCGCTGTGTTGCAAGTGCTAGGAAGATGCGAATCGAGGCGAGTCGAGCTACCGGGGAGAACGTCTCAAGGTAATGAATCGAGTGGATTTCCATGAAGCCTTGGGCGCACACTCGCGCTTTGAGTCGGTCCACCCGTCCGTTGCTATCTCGTTTGATCTTCAGTTTCGTCGTGGTGCCAATGATCTTGACTCCAGGTGGTCGGTCGACCACCTCAAAGGTTCCGTTAGCCCGTAGGGCATCAATCTCGTCTTCAATCGCCTTCTTCCATAGTGGCCACTCGGGTAGTTGCCGTGCTTCAGCAACGGTGAGTGGTTCGTGCGCTATTTCAGCCATGGTGATGACCGCAGTACCAACGCGTTTGCTAGACAGGCGTTCAGATCTGCGCCGGCTGGTTAGATTCGGATCTCCGTCGACAACTCGCCAATCCCGCTCATGATCGATAGCAAGTCCACGATAGAGCGCCTCACAAACGGAAAGTGCTCCGAAGCTCAGAAAACTATCGACTGTATGTTCTTCTCCATCAAGGACGCGATCCAAGACAAGACCATCGTGCCAATGTACTGCCCAACGACGAAGATGCTGGCTGACTGCTTAACGAAGGCGCTCGGCAAGATCCGCCTTGCAGAAAACCGTTCGTAGCTCCTCTTGAGCTCCACTTGACATGTCCACTGGTTTCTGAAATCGAGGGGAGGTGTTGGTACTCGCGCCATCTTGCTCATCCCCGAAGGGACCTCAGGGCAGCTGACTCAGCTCTCCCTATACCTCGACCAGATTAGCCACAGCTAACTCAATCAATTCATTCCTGCTTTTTCCTCCTGGACCAACAAAGACCACACCGAAAGCAACCACACTTTTTGATCACCAACATAAGTCGGAACAGCATGATGAATGCAAGCGTCTGGTAGAGAAAGTCTTTCCAGTAATGGTGCGCGGCATCGAGTGGAAAAGAGAGGTCGACCTTAATCAAAGAGACGGAGACAGTTACGACCTACTAGTCCTTTTGTTTTTTGAATGTGTAGTACGTGGAATCGCGCTACCAAAGTCCCCCCTCAAATATATTTCTACGCTACTTCAGGTTGAGAATTCTTTTGAAGTCTTTGCGTGTTTAAGCTGGAAAAAACGAGATAGCTTTGTTTGAATTGTTTAATACATATAATACACATAGAGTTGCTACCTTGTACCCATTCAATTGTGCAGCGTCTTGTCAGTAGACAGAATTAGACATTAGCGGTAAGGATGCTGATCTTGTACTTCTGGCTCATCCGAGTATCCCGTCTTGCTCAAATTACACGACCAAAGATATCATTTCAGGCGAAATTCATGCGTACTTTTCGCGCAACATTCCATACAACAACAGGCGGACTTAACGGAAAGAGCAACGACACATGTATTATTTGTATAGTTTATTAACCAACCACAGGTATACAGCCATCAATATACTGTAGGACTGTAAATTTGTATGGACCCTTCATGACTATATTACTGTTACTGGATATAAATAGACGGTCTATTCTTTCCCGGAAAATGAACCATCAATCCGATCACCCTTTACTCTAAAATAGTAATATTGTGCCTTTTACTTGTTTTGGCATTTTGGCGGGTAGAGTGTTAATTCGGGCAAAATTAGATCCATAAAAAGCTATCCGGCCATATTTAATGATAATTAAGCATAAGATTGCAAACTCTTCCCCTACACCGTTGACCAGCGTGATAGATTCAATCGGTGGAGACACGCCAGTAAACCGCCAAACACCTTCATATCCCTCTTACTCGGGCTTGATTAGTCTTAGAGCATGCTCACCACCCCCGCCCTCAAACCGGCGGAGATGAGGCAACCCATAATTAACATGAAATTAGCTGACCGTAGGGCATTATTAAGGCTGAGAAGGGAATAGAATTGAGCCAGAATTATTGCTGCAGAATATTATAACTGAAAGGCATAATAAATTTCAGAGAAGTAGGACTTCGTCGAACGTGTGCGATTTTTATAGGGTTAGGTTGTTTTGGATTGTAGATTGTGGTATACAGTAGCGTACACTAAACTGGACGAAGGGAGGTCTCGAAGTGGATACATTTCGCACCAGTGCAATCCGCTACTTGCGTGCAAAGGAAAATAAAAGCAATTCATTATCAAATCATCCCCGAAACGCTCTACTACACCAGTGCGACGACCTGGAATCGCATGTGCGACGGCTGCATTAAATAAATTACGCTTTTGGATGAAATTTATTAATACGTTTGCTTATTTATTGTTTTTTGTTTAGAGAATGAATATTTCAGAGCTTCTAAACGAGGAAACTGATGCCCAACGCACTTGCAACGTATGCCACTACGTGTTCTCTCGCTCGTGCCATTTACAACGCCACCAGCAAGGATCATGTAGAGGAACATCCACTGGGTCCAGGCAACTATGCCCAGTGTGTTGGCAGTGGGTCCGCGGGAATCGCCACCACCTCACGCGTCATCAGCGATCTTCGCGTTGCCGGACGCATGCCGATCGAATCGAGCATCGAAATCAGATGGATCAGGCGCACCGGGGGAGAGATGCGGCATGGCATCGCAACATGCGCAACGGTCGTGAGCGTGATGGATTGGTTGAAGATCCAGAACAGACCGAAGAGCCAGGACAAGTTGAAGAGACAGGACAGGGTGATGAGACAGGATATGGTGGTGAACCAGGACATGTCGAAGATCCAGAACAGTTGGGTCAGGGTGATAAGCCAGGACAAGTTGAAGAGCCAGAACTGTTGGAGCGACTGCTACAAGTCAGTGATGACGATGCACCTGCACATGCTCTGGTCGACAGCGAAATCATTCGCGACCGTGATCAGGGTCCATGGGAGTTTCTCGTGGAGTACGTGATTTTCAATGGGACGATTTGGACTTGGGAGGCCAGAATGATGTTGAAGAAGCGCCCGTTGTCGAAACTGCTGTTGAGGACACGTCGAGAAACGATGCAGCAGACGACAAGCCCATGACGAATCGACACCCACGAGAGCGTGACTGAATGTCGTCTTTGTCTATGCCCATTTGATGACGAAGATACCGACATACGGGTATGCGGAAGTGACCGCTGTAGACAGCCGTACCACCGAGCGTGCATAATCCAGAGCATGGAGCACGACCCAAGATGCGGAAACTGCCGGACGCTTGTCGAGCTCGATGTTGAAGACGGAGAGGCGATCATCGTTAAGCACGTTTCACCTCCCCCGAAGTGCCGCGTCTGCGGTGATGCAATCACCGGTATTGTTTTGGAAGGCCCTCAGTGTGATCACCAGTTTGATTATCGTTGTCTCGTGGACTACTATGCACAGTTCTAAGGCTTGACAGCCTTGGGCGAACTCAAGTGCCCTGCATGCGAGTTTCCATTTCCCGTTGATGATTTCTACGACAGTGAAAGTGGAGACAATAGAGGAGACGATGTGATCGTCGACAATGCGTTCGAGAACGAAGGGGATGAGTAATATCTTGAGGAAACCGGCCCAGATCACAACGCGGAAGAAGTGGTGGTCATGATCAGCGATGATGAGTACCACGAGATCGATTTCAACAGCGAGGAGGATGGCTCGGACGACGACTATACTCCAGGTGAAGAATGGGCAGTGTCGAAGCGAAAACCAGGAAAAGGTGCATAAACGAAAAATATACATGTTTTGGATAAAATTGATTGTAGCTTTAATTTGTGTATCGTCACGTAAATATTGAGTATACGGAGGATAAACAGAGACATGACACATAGTACAATTGGGGTCGACACAAAGTACAATTGGGGTGGATTGCGGTATAGAGTACACATTGGTGACGACTTATAGTACATTTGGGGTCGACTTAACTTACAGTTTGAGTACAATTAGGACAGACGTAGAGTACGGTTGGGGCCGACAAGAGTACAATTCGGAACGATAGTACAGTTGGGAACAACATTAAGTACAGTTGGAGATACAGTTGGGAACGACATTCAGTACATTTGGGGACGACGTACAGTACACTTGGGGGTGACAGGGAGTACACTTAGGGACGACCTACAGTACAGTTGGGGACGACAAATACATATGACGTATCCAAATTACTTACGCTTCTGAGCTCGGATCGCCGCGAGGATTTTGTTAACTGTCATATCGCCTGATATCAGACAGCTAAACTCGGTTTCAAAGCGATCCATATCCCCATCAACCTTGCCTGAACAAACTCAGCGATGATCTTCATCCTGGACAAGCGCGAGCGGTGTATTTTGCGCTCATGGGGGAGCATATTCACACCGGCTCGATACTGATGGCGCTCAGGATTTGATGTCCAGTATTGGGTCACGTAGTCTCGCCATGATTTTGCGTCAGGGAGCTCAGACACCAACTGCGCCGTGTCGATCGCGGTGCTGGTTCCACCAGGGTTACGTCCTTCCTCGTTCACAGATACTTGGGCCAAGAGTCCGTTTCCGTTAATGTCTTTGACCATATCCCGAAGTCCAGTCAGTACGGCTTCCTTGATGTCGTTGACGACTGATGTGGAGAAGTCCGACGAGCCTCTAGGCGACGATAAAGCACGATAACAGTCGAATCCCGCTTCTTCATACTGAGTGCTTTCGTATTCCATGCCTAACACACTTTCCCGCACTGTTGTCGAAGGCATCACAACGTCTGGTGCCAGCGAGTCTCCAAGCTGGTTTTCTTCCCGGTCCATCACATCGTCCAACAGGTAGTGTACAACGGTTTCCGACTTCTCGCTCTGAGACCCACAGCCCACCACTTGACGAGTTTCAGGGACCACCTCCGTTTTTCGGGAGCAAACATAAATCTGTATTGCGCCCCTCCTCTCCGAAAGCAATGTGATGTAAACCATATCTCGTCTCCCAGCACGTTTCTGCTTATCCCTGCTGCTTCGGCGACTATGTTGAGCACCTGAGTAAAATTGTTGTCCGCCATATGAGCCCCCCGCTTTATTCCAACCTTACGGAAGGAACCTGCCGTTGCAGTTGCTTTCCAGTCCGCGTTTTCGCTTTCCTGATCCTCGCGGGATTTTTGTCAGGCCCGGGAATGCCTAGTCACTATCACGCCAATTGTGGTGTAGAGAAACAGGCGCGTGGTCGAACCAACGGTTAACGAACGTCACGGCGTGGGCAGCTTCCTCTTCTTTCGGTAGCCGGTGAAGCGAATACGTCCGACTTGCCAGAGGGTCGTGATCTGTCTTCCTGTCGCGTATCGTAAAACAGCCAAATCTGATCAGAGTGCCATCCTTACGCGACTTGCGTTGAAGCCCCAATTGAATGTCGCCCTTCTTCATCAGGAGTATTTCGTTGATTCGACACATTCCATAAAAGCACAGTGAGCACACAGCGGAAAGCCACAAGCGCATCGTCTTGTTGAACATGATGTCATCTTGCAAAAACGCTATCAGTTTGGACAGCATCGATAACGACATCGGGGAAGCCCGCTTGGGAGTCCTCTCACGCCTTTTTGCTTTACTTAGGCCTGCCAAAATCTGTGTGATGGCGGCCGACCGTGCAGGATTGCCACGAGGAACGACTTGTCCATCTGCCGTCGTTTCTACAACCCAGCGATCGTGAGGGTGCCCGCCGACAAGCATTTCTGGTCTGGTGTAGTGCCATGAAAGAGCGGCTCGAAGCTTTTCCGCAGGCCACTGGCTGGATTTTGTCGTGGCAAGGCGATTGATATATGCGGCAATGACGCCTGGAAGCTCAACGAAGCGCTGCTGGATGGGATTGCGATATCCTTCTTGTTTGCAGAACTCAACAAAGCGGCGCAAACTTCCAGTTTAATCGAACCTTGTGCGGGCTTCAAGGCGCTGGTCAGCAAATTTTGCAGCAGCGAGAGCTTCATTGTACAGACGACTTGTAGCCGGAAGGTCCATTCCTGCGAGCTAAGCCCTGTGTCCTGAGAAAAGGAATATGAGTAGTGAAATGAGGATTGTTGGCTGTCTATCGATGTCGCTGTCGACCCCATTTGTACTGTCGTCCCCAACTATACTTTCGTTCCCAAGTGTACTTTTGGCATGCGCAATGTGAGTCGTTTCACGGGAATGATGACTTTTGTGTCTCAACGTAGAATTAACAACACATGACCACTATTTGCAAAAATATATTTTTAGCCAATCAGATTGTGTCGCACGGTCATTTATTTTGCTCGCACCTGTGGGAGAAGTAAAATTCGCGACAGTGGTGTGGTGAACATAATTCTAAACCCCTCATCTTTTCCAGAAACGAAAACGATGCCAGGAGCCATCAAGCAGAATGCGCTGAACGCGCTCAGCAGCCGCAAGACGGACGGCAAGGGCTTGCGCGTGGCCATCGTGCACGCCAAGTGGAATGCCGAGGTGGTGAACTCACTGGTATCGGCCGCCAAGACGGAGCTGCTGCGTGCTGGCGTGGCCGAGAGCGACATTGTGGTCGCTGATGTGTCGGGTGCCTACGAACTTCCGTACGCCGCCAGCCGTATCATCGCGTCACAGAAGCTGGATGCCGTCATCTGCGTTGGAACGCTCATCAAGGGGGGCACGATGCACTTTGAGTACATCTGCGAGGCCGTTTCGCAGGGCATTATGCGTGTGCAGTTGGACACGGGCGTGCCTGTGCTCTTCGGCGTGCTCACGGTGCTCAACGAGCAGCAGGCCAAGGACCGCGCCGGCCTGTCGGACAAGGGCCACAATCACGGCACCGAGTGGGCGCAGACCGCCATCGAGATGGCTCGTCTTCGCGAGGCGACGCTCAAGGGCGGCTGTCCCATGCGTCCGCATGAGCACTTGCCCTACCACAGCCTGACCAACTGCCCGTTCTTCACGGTCTCCACGTGGCTGCACATCGCCACTCTCGGCGCGCTCGGCTTCGTCGCCGCCACGGTCGCTAAGAAGCTCGCCTAGACTCAGAGAATCGATCAACCTCAAAGCTATCAGGCCTGAGTAACAAACATGCTCCTTCTTTTGATGCAATATTCCGGTGGTCCAGACGTTGTTTACCTATTAAAACCCGAGTTGAACCTTGCTGATAGGGGCCGCTACACGCACTCCAGATCCAGTACTGCCATTGCTCCGATACGAGCCATTGCTGCCGGCACTGCGCACCGACCGATCGCTAAGCAAATATTTGTGTTAGTCGCAAATATCGACCTGCACCTGCAATATTTACAATCAAACCTTTTGTCACTGCGTGCGGACATGGGGCGAGGCAGACCGGCGCCGTCCGCTCTTGCTGCGGCTGTTCGTCCAGGCGGCACGGCTGGAATGTGCATGCCCACCTCATGCACAGCCATCTGCAATGGGTCTCCGATCTCGGGGAACTCGTTGGCCAGTTGGCCCAACGTGTACAGCAAGCTCGCACTGATCTCCTTGAGTTCCAGCGCCTCCAGCATCACCTGCTCCTTTGTACGCCAAGTACCGTCGTCATCGAATCCCCCGGCACTCACAGCGAACTGCTTGTGTTCTCGCATCTGACGCTCGAGTTTCTTGACCACTTTCCCCCACTTGGCTCGCTCGGTCTGCACCTCACGGTCCACTTGTGCCAACGCACCTTCAAGTTGCGTCGCATTGGCTCGAGCGAAGTCGCGCTGAGTCTCTACCTCACGAAGTCGCTGAGTCTCGCTCGTCACGTCCAGCTCAACTCTCGCCAGCTCTTTCTTCTTCTTAAAGAACGTGTCTTCCGCCATCTTGGCTTGTGTCTCCAGAGCAGCAAGACGTTGTGCATCGTCGCCAGCGAGATCAGCACGATGGAAGCTCTTACGGTACGCCGAGTTGCGCTCTTCCAGATGAGCCAGCGTCTTCTTCAGCGCACGAACATCCTTCTCGGCTATACGGATCTTGTCGTCCAGTTCGTCTCCTTCACGTTGGAGCTCCTCGCGACGTTGAGCTGCTCGAATGACAAAGTAAGCCTGGCTTCTCTCCTTACCCGCCTCTCCTGCATCATCGCCATCGTCTGCATACGCTCCCATCTTGCAGAGCGTCTCGAATTTGGCCTGCAGTTTACGTACGCGACTCTCTCTATCAGCCAGTTCTACAGACACGCGGTGACGTTCGTCTTCAAAAGCTTTGTTTGCAGCTCGCTGGAGCTCCTGATGAGCAGCAATCTCACGCTTGCGTTCCTCCATACTTTTCTTCAATTGGAAGTCACGGTTCTCGAGAGACAAGACCTCATCAGCACGAGCGTGAAGCAGGTCGCGGAGACGACGCACTTCGAGCGCTTGGAGATCGTGCTGGATCAGCAGTTCTTCCTTGTTCTTGAGTGCTGCCTTGAGTGCATGTGCGCAGCTCTCGTTGCGCAGCTCATGCTCGGCGATCTGAGCGTCCACCTCCCGTTGTTGAGCTATCAAGGCCTTACGAGATCGTTCCTGGGCACGTCGCTCGTCTTCAAGCTTCTTACACTGCGCTGTAAGCATGACTTGCTCGGCCTGGACACGGTCTAATTCCATCTGCAGCACCTGGATCTGAGCCTGTAGCGCCTTCGTCTCATCGGCACTTCGTTCTCCACTAGCTCGAGCCACTTTGCGCTCCATTTGCTGGATCTGGAACTCGCCATTGTACACAAGCTCCTGTTGACGCAAGGCTTGAGCATCCAGTGAGCGCAGCTTAGCGCGCAGGTTTTGCGCTGCGGACTTCGCCCCTGACAGCTCAGCTACCAGATTCGCTTCTTGCTGTCGTAGGGCGAACAATTGCTGACTCTTGCGGAACATTTGCTCCTTTTGAGCGGCGATCTCCTTGTCCAGACGCTTCACTTCGTTCTCCATAGCGGCCAGATCCGCTTCAGCCTGCTTGGCCAGTGCTTCAGCGTCCAGAGTTGTGTCTCGGCAACGCTCCAGCGCTTTTCTGGTGCCTTTGAACCGCGCTCTGGCTACCTCAAGCTCTTGCTTCATCGCCTCCAACCGGTCATCACGGTTCGAATTGTTCGAGCGTTGCTGGTTCAGCGCAGCCACAGCACTGGAAAGCTCACTCTTCAGTAGCTCCACCTGATCGCGGAAGGCTTGTAAGCGAGCCCCTGTCTCCTGTAACTCTTGCTGTGCCTTGGACTGCGTACGTTCCTTGCCTGCCAGTTGAGCCTGCGCTTCGTTATTTGCTGCTTCTTGCTGCTGCAGACGACGTTTCTGCTCTCCAAGCAGCTCCTGCTTACTCTGCAGACCTCGTTGTGCCAGGGCGAACTGTTCGCTTGCCTGTGTGATCTCTTCGTCACGAGCTCGCATCGCCTCTAGTGTTGATTGCCACTGTGCCACCAGCTTCGCGCGCTCTGCGTGAAGAGAGCGGAACTCCTCCGCCGTCTTGTCTAACTCGATTTGTTTGGCTTGTGTCTCGGTAGCTTCATCGTCCACTTCACGCTTGGCTCGAGTCAATTGCTGAGTCAGTTTCTCCAACGCCAACGTCAGTTCCTTGATACGGGCCTCGTCGGCCCGTCGGTATCGCTCTAATGCCATGGCATCCTCTTCTTTCTGTCGCGCTGCCACTGCCCACTGCTCCATTTCGTCCTGATTCCAGTTCATCTGCAGCTTAAAGGCGTCCATCGCTTCATTCCCCTTGAATAATGAGCCTTGTAAACCTGCAAGTTTACGTTCTAGTTCAGCTGCCTCTGCGTCCAGCACTTTGGCTTCTTGAGCCACTCGGCCAATTTCACGCTCTGCTAGTTGCCTCATGTGTTCCTCGCTTTCAACTTCTTTGAGTTTAGCACCGTGTAAAGCTTGAGTATGCAACAGTTCTTGTTGCACGTTTTTCAGATGTTCCGTCATGATCTCCACGCGCGATCGAGTCTCTGCGAGTTCTCGTTTGGCAGCCTCATAACGCGCCTCCTTGATGCGGATCTGCGCATGCAGCTCGCGGTTCTTCTCGTCTGCAAACAACGGGAGATCGTCGATACCTGTGGGGAGCGTCCGGACCGTCACGTCCCTCTTGTCGCTGACTTCGCTGTTGTTGTCAGCTTCGTCCTCATCCTCTTCATCGAGACTCTGACTGCGCTGACGTCCATCAGCGCGCTTCCAGCTGTAATGACCCGGTTCGGAGTCGACGCTCTGCGGTCCATCGTCTTTGTCCACATCGTTTTGCTGTGTATTCTCCTCCTCCCAGTTGTTATCACCGCCAGTGTCTATCACGGGCGACTTCAGGTCTACGTCGCCCGCAGCTCCGGCGTCCTCGGCATCGAAATCGATTGGCGCCTCACCGACGGCGGCTTCACTCGCGTCGTCATTACTAGCGTAGCTTCCAGGCATTCGTTCCTTGAGACTTTAGTTAGGATATGCAGCTTCTGGATCGTTTCGTCTCCATCACAAAACCCACCAAAACTAAATGCAGCGGCATCCGTTACGAGGCGAAGGATGCCAAGTGCTGCATCTCCGGATGATGGCCATTCGCTTGCGTTTCAATCACGAATGGATGTAGCGCCGTTGCCTCGTACGTGGCAGAACTCGAGTCTCATCATCGAACCTGCTCTGTCGCTTTGCTGGGTGGTGGAGCTGGGATCAAAATGCAAATGGCCCGGCCTAGTGTCACTTTAGTTGAAGTTATCCTCAAACGTACATTCATTTCAGGACGCAGCTAACAGCAATTGTACTGACAGCGTCATAACCATATGGACTTTACGATTCTGCGTCCCGCATAGTATGTATATCAAAACTCAAAGTTGTCGTCGGCGTGCGTCACAATGGTGCAATCATTTGCGTAACTGTTATCAGTTTTTGTGCAAACTGCTAGCATCATTTGAACACACCAAGTGCGTGGCCAGCGACCCTGAAGCGTCATTCCCCATTTTGCGCAGCACCGCATAAGTGCCTTCAACGGCCACCTCACCACTACCTCTCCACCTCCTCAACGATGTCACAGCCGCAACTGAGCAGTGAGCAGATCAATGCACTGCGCGAGAAGGAGCTGGAGCAGTGGAAGACGCAGGAGAACGCGGCCGACCTCATGGTGCCGCTCATCGGTCGCCTGTACCGCGAGAACAACGTGGTGAGCGTGCTCTTCGGCAAGGGTCTCGTGCACAAGAACAGCATTGATCTCATCAAGCTGCACAACTTCGTCTGCAAGTACGTGGGCAAGCGCATGCAGCCCACCGAGACGCTCGTGGTGCTGCTCGCGCTCGTCCAGTACGCGCCCAACGCGCGTGATATGCGCATCGATCTTGGCCGCACTTTTGTCTTCATGGAAAAGGAAGTGCTGGACGTGCAAGCTCAGGTCACACCCGAGGCCCGTGACGCCAAGGTGCGTGCCCTGGGCGAGCTGCTAAACGCCAAGATGGCTCCGCTGACCAACGCGCCGGCCTTCACGCCCAGCGACGTGATCTTGTACGGTTTCGGCCGTATCGGTCGCCTGTTGGCCCGCCTGCTCATTGAAAAGAGCGGACCCGGCGTCAAGCTCATGCTACGTGCCATCGTAGTGCGTAAAGGCACCAAGGAAGACCTCATTAAGCGTGCCAGTTTGCTGCGTCGCGACTCAGTGCACGGCCCGTTCCACGGCAGCATCACGTTTAACGAGGAGGCCAATGCCATCATCGCCAATGGCAACCTCATCCAGATCATCTACTCGGACGGACCGGACAAATGTGACTACACTAAGTACGGCATCAACAACGCCATCGTCATTGATAACACTGGTCGCTGGCGTGATGCCGATGCTCTGGGACTGCATCTCAAGTCGCCTGGTGTCTCTAAGGTCATCTTAACTGCTCCTGCTAAGGGTAATGTGCCCACCGTTGTGGCTGGCGTGAACGATGAGGCAATTTCGAAGTCTGACAACATTTACTCGGCCGCGTCCTGCACGACCAACGCCATTGCGCCGTCGCTGTATGCGCTGGACAAGAAGTTTGGCATCGTGGGTGGCCACATTGAGACTGTGCACTCGTTCACGAATGACCAGAACCTGATCGATAACTACCACATGAAGGAGCGTCGTGGTCGCAGTGCTGTCCTTAACATGGTTATCACCGAGACGGGCGCTGCTGCCGCTGTGGTCAAGTGTCTCCCTACGCTCAAGGACAAGCTCACTGCTAATGCTATCCGTGTCCCGACACCGAACGTGTCGCTGGCCATTCTGAACTTGACACTTGACCCGACCAAGGCCGAGGGGATCACTAAGGACTCGATCAACTCGTTCATGTCCAAGGTGTCGCTGGATTCGCCACTCCAGAACCAGATTGACTTTGTCAACTCGGCAGAAGTTGCATCAACTGACTTCATCGGCAGCCGTGCTGCTGGTACAGTGGACGGTAAGGCTACTATTGTGGACGGCAACAAGGTGATTCTCTACGTCTGGTACGACAACGAGTTCGGCTACAGCTGCCAAGTTGTTCGGGTCGTCCAGCGCTTGATGGAGATTAACCACACGCGCTTCCCGGCCAAGGAGCAGATGGAGGATATCGACCGCTCTCTCAACCTCACCTGGGACCTTTAGATTTCAACCAAAGTCGATCAACTGCACTGAAAAAAAAAAAAAAATCAACACAAACCTCATACGTAAGTTGCAGCAGTTTATCGCATTGAGAACAGCAATTTATAAAAGTTTGCTTTAAAACGAGTCCTCCGTTTCACGATGTCTAACTTAGGTTATCTTGAAATTCACGCCGGCAGCCGGCAATGCTTTCTACGCGCGAAGCGCGTACCGCCAAGAAGAATGTTGCAGGACGCTCTAAGAAGGATGATCAAGATGGCTCCTACTCTAGTTTGTCAGCAAAAATTCAAGCGTGGCAAGGTATGTGCTTACCAGATAACGTTGATACTTGGATGCCACTAAGCAAAGCTTTTTGAGCCTAGATTCTGCGGACAGTAGGCAAAAGCACCTCCAACAGGTCGTGAATGGGAAATCGTCGATGGTACGAACCTGTAGCACCAAAACTGGTTCAGTACGCGGCGCTAGTTCCTCCACTCACAGAAAAAGTGACTCGACAACTAGTAGCGACAGTAAAAATCACAGTTCTGGCTACTATAACAGCGGTGACGATGAATCTGTGAGTGAAATGGTGAATGCACTCAACGAAACAGCTACCGACACGAGAAAAGAGTTTTTAACTGCACTGGTTGTAACAAGTAAAGGTCAGCTTGGATCGAGCTCCCTATCGAACTCTACAGAACTAAACGAAATTAAGCAGTCTGTGGAACGTTTGCGAGCTCAGCGCACACACGTGGAGCGTCTAAGTCAACGAAATGAAGACCTTGAACGCCAATTAGTTGAGCAAAAGGCAGAGAACGAGACGATGCAACGAGAAGTCTTCACTTTGCGCGGAGCTGAACAGGAAAATGTAGCTTATTTACAGAGTGTGAAGCTGCTGGAACAACGAGCGCATGAACTTGAGGAAACATGTACTGCAAAGAAGATCGAGCTGAGAACTGTAACAAAGAAGTTAAACTGCGCTGAGCAAGAGCGGGATGAACTTAGTCAGAAGATCCAAGACATTCGGCATGACTATGGCGATGAAATCAAAGCATTGAGAGATAAGAACAAGAAATTATTGCAGCTTGTCGAGCAGCTTAAACAGTCAAACGAAGCCCAGACAGACGAACATAAACGAATGGAGCAACACTGGAAGCAAAAGATGAAAGCTGCAACTCGTGCAAACTCTGAAACTATTGACTCTTTACAACAGGAACTCGAGGTAAGCTGCCAAAAGAGCAGCAAGCTGGAAGTGGAGGTGTACGAATTGGATAAGCAAGTACAGAAGTTACTTGCCACTACTGTCCGACAGACAACGATAATTGAGGAATGCGATCGCATGCTATTCGAAGCCGAAGCACAGCAGCAGCAAACCCGGACAAGTTATGAAATGCAGCTACAACTTTCCAGCGAATTGAACACGAAAAATGAGCGACTAGAACTGCAAGTAGCGTCATTGAACCAGTCCAAAAATTTGGAGACAATCGAGTTGGAGAAGAAAGTGTCGCTACTTGAACGCGAATTAGGCGAGTACAAAGATCGCTCGAAGACTGCAGAGGAAGCACTACGGAAAAAGGATAAAGAAATCGAGGTCATTCAGCGTGCATGTGTCACACGAGACGAAAATCGTCTCCACTTAGACGAGGTACTGCTTGTGCTGTTGTGTGTCAATCGACAATAAAGCTGGGATTCTGATGGCATACTGCACACAGATAAACAAAGAGCTTCAGCGAAACGAGAGAAAAACGAAGAGCGAGATTTCGGAGCTGCAAATTGCGTTACGGGTATGCCAAGATGCAAATGTCACTCCCGTTTTATTTTTTACTAACGCGGCACAGGACGCTACAGATGAAAAGAAACTCATTAGTGAGCAAGTTATCGACTTGCAAGGTATGTTTACATGTAGCTGGCTCATCATTCTTATTGATATCCAACATGTATTATCTTAGAGAAATTGGAGAACGAGCGGAAGGACAGATCTCAGTGGGCCACATCTAGACTCAAATTGCTGGCCGAATTCTGCGATGAAGAGAGCAAGCTGAGCTCAGCACTTTATCACCATAACAATCTCTCTTTTGATGATCGGAAACCTCATAAACATAAACGAAAGACGAAAACCAGGCGGACTACGAAGAGTAATGTGTCGGAAACGCAGCGCTATGATAGAGACGACAGCGAAATGGACGAGGGGAGACGAGACTCAATCGTTTTCGGCTAGCGAAGTCAATGCAGAAAGACTACTCAACTTGAATGATAATTTATCGAGTACGCTACCTCATTCACCACTCCATAAATTTACGTACTTCTTAAATCAACGAGACCACGAACGAATAGGACTTCACTCATCCCACTGTATACATAACAAGCAGAACAAGTTAACAACAGTGCTTTGAGTTGGCTAAAGCATGCCAGCAGTATCTTACCTCGTCGGAGTTGGATAAAGGCTCGTACGTCTTGTGCGAAGAACCTAGCTTCTGGCGCACCATGTTCTTGAGTTCAATCACCTTTGCGTCCTCCTTAAAGTGGTGCTTCTGATCTGTTTCTCCTAATACTGGCGGTTGGTAACTCTTGAGTAGAAGCGAAGATATCACCACTGACACGGACGAGAAAGCCATCGCAAGACCAGCACAGGCAGGAGGCATCATCCGGTGGATCAGCGGGAAGAACATGCCAGCAGCCAGTGGGATCCCCACAACGTTGTAGATAATCGAGAAGAAGAAGTTCAACTTGATACGAGAGAACACCACACGAGCCAAGTCCAGAGCCACCACCACATCGGTCAGCGCACTCTTCACTAGCACCATGTCAGCTTCCGCCTTGGCGATCTGTGTACCAGCACCGATAGCCATACCAATGTCCGACTGCGCCAGTGCCGGCGCATCGTTGATACCATCACCAACCATGCACACAATACGCGGTTTCAGAGTCAGAGGGTTCACCTGCGACTGTAAAGCCTTGATCTGAGCTGCCTTCTCGCCTGGCAGAGCCACCGCCTTGACGTGGCTGATGCCCATCTGACGAGCGATCGCGCTGGCTGTACGAAGGTTGTCACCAGTGATCAGCCACACATCCAGTCCCATTGACTTCAAGTGCTTGATGACAGCTGCAGCTTCCGGGCGAGGAGCATCAGCCAAGGCAATGACACCCACCAGTTTGTTCTCCACGCACACCACCACCACAGTTTTACCTTCAAGCTCCAGCTCATGCATGTGAGCACGCACTTTCTCGCCAATTTCAATGCCTTTTTCTTCACAGTACTCAGAGTTGCCCACCATCACGTTGACAGGCCTGCTCCGAGATGTCACCTCGCTAGCAGCCACCACACCTTCAATTCCTCGACCTGGAACAACGTGAACTTCCGTCGGGTCGTGAAGCTCCAACTTCTCATGCTCAGTTGCTGTCATCACAATAGCCTTACCAAGAACGTGCTCACTCACACATTCCAGTGAAGCACCATAATACAACAGCTCACGTGGTGTGTACGCACGATCAGCCACCACTACGTCACGTACAGATGGGTGTCCGACGGTGAGGGTTCCCGTCTTGTCAAACACAATGGTATCGATATAGCGCGCTGTCTCTAAAGCGCGGCCACCCTTAATAAGCACACCCTTCTTAGCGCCAACACCGCAGCCAACCATGACAGCGGTAGGCGTAGCAAGGCCCAAAGCACACGGACACGCGATCACCACAACAGAAATAGCAAACAGGATCGACAAGAAGAAATCGTCCGCGTGGCTCGTACTCGTTGACACGCCTAGATCGAGTTTCCATTGTGCAGGTACGATATCCATCGAGAGCAGAACCATCCAAGTAGTAAATGTCAAGACTGACAAGGCTAGAACACACGGGGCGAAAATCGACGCTAACCAGTCTGCATATGCCTGGATCGGAGCCTTATGAAGTTGAGCGTCTTCGATCAAAGCGCAGATCTGCGATAGAGCAGAGCTCTCGCCACCCATACAGCTTGACTCAATAACCAACGTGCCCTGTTGGTTCACTGTCGATCCAAACACATAGTCGCCCTCTTTCTTGGCTACTGGCATACTCTCACCCGTAAGCATCGACTCATCTGTTGAGCTCGAGCCTGACTTCACCACACCGTCCGTTGGGATGTTAGCACCTGGAAGGATACGAAGCAGATCACCTCGCTGGACTAACTCAATCGGAATCTCGCGATCACGCTTGCCTTTTTGAACAAGTAGAGCAGTCTTCGGCTGCAGTTTTGCCAACTCCGACAACGCATCAGCCGTTTTGCCCTTGGCCATCGACTCCATGTACTTACCAAGTGTAACAAACGTCAGCAGCATCGCTGAAGACTCGAAAAAGTGGTGGCCATGGTAGTCCGCATGCAAGGCTGACCCGATAGTTGCTACGAAACTGTACGTATAAGACATGGTAGTGCCGGCCACGACCAGGAAGTCCATACCCATAGCTCCATGTTGTAGACCCTTGTAAGCAGCCACGTAGAATCGCCATCCTACACCAAACTGGACTGGCGTTGCAAGTAGAAACAGAAGCAGAAGTTTGAGCGTCACAGCGTTAAGTACTGGAGTCATTAGCACCTTTTCCACTGGTGGAATATACATGAGCACCATGTGGATGAATGAGGCCGGCAACGAGAAGATCATGGCCGTGGTCAAAAGTTTGCGCCACTTCTCCACCTCTGACTTGCTCAGAGCGTTCTGGTCCGTCGTCTCCAGTGCCACCTCGGCCGAGTAGCCCAGGCCATTGATACACTCCAGCACGTCACGAGGCCCTGTCTTGGACAGCTGCTTCAGATGCACCTGCGCCTTGTTCAGCGGCAAATTGACCAGCACCTTCGTCACGCCAGGCAACTTGCCCACTGCCGTCTCGATCTTGCCCACACACGCGGCACAACTCATGCCTGTAACTGTGAACTTGAGCTCCAGCGAGTCATCGTCACCTGGTTCTACCACGTGTGAGAACGTCGCCTTGTAGCCGGCGTCCTGGATGAGTTTCTGGAGTAAAGTCTGCTCGTTCTCGATCAGATCGCGGTCGAACGACACCTCGGCCTTCTGGCTGATGAGACCCACGCGGCAGTGCAGTACGCCCTCCGCCTTGCCCACGTAGTCCTCGATGGCCTTCACACACGCGGCGCAACTCATGCCTTCCACGTGGAACACGGCGCGCGGGTGGCCGCCCACGTCGGGCATATCGACGGCCACGTCCTCTGTCTCCTGCTGCTTCTGCTTCTGCTTCTGTGCCTGTAGTTTGATGGCTGCGGCCTTGGCAGCGTCGTATGCGCTGGCCTCGAAGCCTACACACTCCACCATGTCCACCAGCTGCTCCAACGTCGTGCTGCCGGGCCGTAACAGCGTCACTGTGGCCTTGCGGTGCTCGAAGCTCACCACGACGTCGGCCACGCCATCCACGCCTCTCAGCGCGTTCTCCACGGTTGTCCCACAGTTCTTTTGGCACATCATTCCCTCCACCAGCAACTCGATCGTCAGTGGGTCCTGCGTCTCGCTGTCCGTCTGCATATTGGTTGGCGTCTTCACTGCAGCACCAAAGCCGACACACTCGACGGCGTCCACCAGGTCGTCGGCAGTCACACTCGCGCCTGGGACGCACTCGACGTGTGCGCTGTGCTTCTCGAAGTCGACGACGGCATCGGCCACGCCGTCCACACTGCGCAGCGCGCTCTGCACCGTGTTGCCGCAGTTCTTCATGCACATCATGCCTTCCACCGCGAGCTCCACCACCAGCGGTCGGCCTGACGCGGCCGCCATTCTTGAGCCTTTTGGGGTCGAGTGTATCACTTCGAGCGGATCTAAAAGTGGCCCCGATTACTGGAATGGAGCTGTTGGGTAATATGAAGCCAGAGCGAGCACGCGTCTGTTGGCTTTCGGTTTGTATGGATTTCAGTATGGGGAAAGGAATGATACTGTTTCGTACTTAGACGGACGCAACGTTGAAGTGGCCGTGACGTTGTTTGTTTGGCCTTGACATTGCATCGATGGCGACCAACGCCACCAGAACTGTAGCTGGCTACCTCAGAGTACAGTCAATGTCGAAGAGCTATTACTGCATTGTCTGTGTGCTACAAGTAAATCAATGTTGGCGAAAGGAATCTGCTGCACCGCATGCTGAGCCAGGCGTCGATCGGGGGCTTGCAGGAGACGTCAGTGAAGTGCCGACGTCGGACCATGAAGTTTGAGTGCATTCGCTAGGCGGATGGCTTCATGTATCAACACGCAATTGCGTTGACTGTGGATCAGTTCCATGCACTCTGCGGTTTTTGCGTGTCGATCGTTCGTTCAGTCAATAATCGCTGGAGCCGGAAATGATCTCAACTGGCGGTTGCGAGACGGATCTCTGATCCACGCGCTTCTTCATCGCGCCTACACGGACGAACAGCGCAAGATTCTTCGTCAGCTGCATTCACCACCGAAATATTCTATTCAATCCGCAGTCCTCCAATGCACAGTACTTGAGTATGCTTCTATAAGCTGGATACAAATGATTCGGTAAAAACAAATGTGTCTTATACGTGAAGTTATAAAAACAACTATACTGTATCACCCCGCTCTATCAGCCAATGAAACGGTATCACTTTTTCCCGACATCGATCACCATGGCGTCGATGAAGGTGCGACTGACGGGGCTCATCAACCAGTCCCCGCAGTATGTGATCGACCAGTCGCGCGTGCCCATTTACTTTGTGGCCTCTAAGAAGGAGTGGAGCTACTGCGCCACTCGCCTGCTCAAGGCGGAAGTCATTGGCTTCGACACGGTGCGTCACTTCCGTTCAAAGTTTTCAACCCAACCCAGCAATTCCATTAATGTAATCGCTTCTACGACAGGAAACCCGCCCAATCTGGAGCAAACACCAGCGTCCCAACCCGTCCGCATTATTACAGATCGCAGTACGCGATGCCAGTCACAAAGAGGAGGTTTTCATTCTCGACCTTCTCCACTTGTCCGCCAAAGTCTACAACACCACATTAAAACGCGTCTTCCTGTCCAAAACGATCGTCAAACTTGGACAGAGCTTCTACCATGACTTGCAGGAGCTGGCCCAGTCGTACCCACAAGCATCCTGCTTTACCGTCTGCAAGGGCGTCGTGGAAGTGAACGATTTGTCCATCTCACTAGCGGGACCGCACAACCCGCTTAGCCTGCAGAAGCTGGTGTTCTTCTATTTGCATCGCAAGCTTACCAAGACGCAGCAGATGTCCAATTGGGCACGGAGACCGCTCACGTCTAGTCAGCTGCACTATGCTGCAGCCGATGCACTGGTACTTATCCATTTGTACGACGAGCTATTGATGCGCATGCAGAAGCAGCGTACTACAAAGAATTTCCAATTGAGCATAGTGACCAACGTACTGGATGTAAACCTCCCACCGGCTCCGAAGTGCTCGCGCTGCTTTGACGTTTTTGAAACGAGAGATAAACTGAAGAAACATCGCAAAAACTGTATCGTGGACGTACGCACATTGGCGATTTGCGAAGTTTGTGAAGGCAAGAAACTTGTGACCGAAGAAGTTATGAAGTATCACGTGAAGCGCTGTGGTGTGGAAGATGACGCTGATGAACCGATCGTTCAAGTCAAACGGAAACGCTCGCTATCAGTAGATAGCAAAAAGAGTACATCGTCTAAGAAACGTCGCCTGGAGACGTCAGAGCAAGCCAAGACTGCAGAAGAACTCAATGCCACCAAAGTAGAGCAAGAGCCTACGAAACCGCTTACTAAAGGGCAGAAGAAGAAGGAACGGAGGCGAAAAGCAAAGGCGTTGGCTGCCTTGAAAGCACAGTTATCTAGGAAAGATAGCCTATCGCAAAAAGCAGAGATGCCGAGCTGTCGGGATGAAACGCACAGGAAGCGCAAAATGAGCATGGAGTCGTCGCTTTTGGCGTCCGACGCAATGTGGTCTCAGATTTCGAGTGACTGCGAGTCCTTCACCGCCACGTAAGTTACGATGACCACGGTAAAATACCGTAGTTTTCACGTGCGCAAAATATATTTCGGTGTTGATTGCGAACCATCTTTTCAATCCCAACAACAAATGACTTTCCAAGGTAAAGGATGTGCAGTCAAAGACCGGCCACAGTAAAGTCGAGCAACTTGCTTGAAACAAGTCGCCGCGCCGGGATCTGCTGCTGCGTGCGCACGAAAGAAGAAGCTGTTCTTCATGTCCGCACCGTCAGCATTTACACTCCGATTACGACCGGCACTCGACAGTTCCGAGCGTTGGCATCTCGTTTTCTTGGTCAGAATTTACGAGCCGCATGCGAGCGACGTTTCATGTTGGTGGGCGGCCACATAAAGGCCATCAATTCAATCTTGGTCATTCTGGTTCGGACTGGTCGGCTTTCGTGAACACCAGCTGGCGCATTCCAGGGGCACAGAGCCGTGCCAGTCATGCTTGACCCAGGCTGACTTGAGGGGCGTTCCCATCGCGGCGAACTCGTTCATTTCGCAATTGCCGCCTGTCCGATCACTTGTCCAGAGAAGATGGTGGCGGCAAGAGCTTCGCAGGCCGAGGTGCTGGTCGTAGAGCTCGCGGTGGAAGGCATGATGTGCATGAAGAACTGCGGCAACACGGTGCAGAGCGCGCTGCGCAGTGTGGACGGCGTGGCCGATGCCGTCGTCGACTTCGAGAAGCACAGCGCACACGTCGAGTGCGTCCCAGGCGCGAGTGTGACTGCCGACGACCTGGTGGACGCCGTCGAGTGTGTCGGCTTTGGTGCTGCAGTGAAGACGCCAACCAATATGCAGACGGACAGCGAGACGCAGGACCCACTGACGATCGAGTTGCTGGTGGAGGGAATGATGTGCCAAAAGAACTGTGGGACAACCGTGGAGAACGCGCTGAGAGGCGTGGATGGCGTGGCCGACGTCGTGGTGAGCTTCGAGCACCGCAAGGCCACAGTGACGCTGTTACGACCCGGCAGCACGACGTTGGAGCAGCTGGTGGACATGGTGGAGTGTGTAGGCTTCGAGGCCAGCGCATACGACGCTGCCAAGGCCGCAGCCATCAAACTACAGGCACAGAAGCAGAAGCAGAAGCAGCAGGAGACAGAGGACGTGGCCGTCGATATGCCCGACGTGGGCGGCCACCCGCGCGCCGTGTTCCACGTGGAAGGCATGAGTTGCGCCGCGTGTGTGAAGGCCATCGAGGACTACGTGGGCAAGGCGGAGGGCGTACTGCACTGCCGCGTGGGTCTCATCAGCCAGAAGGCCGAGGTGTCGTTCGACCGCGATCTGATCGAGAACGAGCAGACTTCACTCCAGAAACTCATCCAGGACGCCGGCTACAAGGCGACGTTCTCACACGTGGTAGAACCAGGTGACGATGACTCGCTGGAGCTCAAGTTCACAGTTACAGGCATGAGTTGTGCCGCGTGTGTGGGCAAGATCGAGACGGCAGTGGGCAAGTTGCCTGGCGTGACGAAGGTGCTGGTCAATTTGCCGCTGAACAAGGCGCAGGTGCATCTGAAGCAGCTGTCCAAGACAGGGCCTCGTGACGTGCTGGAGTGTATCAATGGCCTGGGCTACTCGGCCGAGGTGGCACTGGAGACGACGGACCAGAACGCTCTGAGCAAGTCAGAGGTGGAGAAGTGGCGCAAACTTTTGACCACGGCCATGATCTTCTCGTTGCCGGCCTCATTCATCCACATGGTGCTCATGTATATTCCACCAGTGGAAAAGGTGCTAATGACTCCAGTGTTCAACGCAGTGACATTGAAGCTGCTATTGCTCTTTCTACTCGCCACTCCGGTGCAATTCTGGGTTGGCCGGCGGTTCTACGTAGCCGCATACAAGGGTCTACAGCATGGAGCTATGGGTATGGACTTCCTGGTCGTGGCCGGCACTACCATGTCGTATACTTACAGTTTTGTGTCCTTGATTGGTTCGGCCATGCACGAGAATTACAATGGCCACCACTTTTTCGAGTCTTCAGCGATGCTGCTAACGTTCGTGACACTTGGTAAGTACATGGAGTCGATGGCCAAGGGCAAAACGGCTGATGCATTGTCGGAGTTGGCAAAACTGCAGCCGAAGACGGCATTGTTGATCCAGGAGGGCAAGCGTGATCGCGAGATTCCGATTGAATTAGTCCAGCGAGGTGATCTGCTTCGTATCCTTCCAGGTGCTAACATCCCAACGGACGGTGTGGTGAAGTCAGGCTCGAGCTCAACAGATGAGTCGATGCTTACGGGTGAGAGTATGCCAGTAGCCAAGAAAGAGGGCGACTATGTGTTTGGATCGACAGTGAACCAACAGGGCACGTTGGTTATTGAGTCAAGCTGTATGGGTGGCGAGAGCTCTGCTCTATCGCAGATCTGCGCTTTGATCGAAGACGCTCAACTTCATAAGGCTCCGATCCAGGCATATGCAGACTGGTTAGCGTCGATTTTCGCCCCGTGTGTACTAGCCATGTCAGTCATGACATTTACAACGTGGATCACTCTGCTATCAATGGATATCATACCGACACAATGGAAACTCGAGCTAGGCGTGGAAACGAGGACAAACCACGCAGACGATATCTACCTCGCAATCCTGTTTGCTATCTCTGTTGTGGTGATCGCGTGTCCGTGTGCTTTGGGCCTTGCTACGCCTACCGCTGTCATGGTTGGCTGCGGTGTTGGCGCTAAGAAGGGTGTGCTTATTAAGGGTGGCCGCGCTTTAGAGACAGCGCGCTATATCGATACCATTGTGTTTGACAAGACGGGAACCCTCACCGTCGGACACCCATCTGTACGTGACGTAGTGGTGGCTGATCGTGCGTACACACCACGTGAGCTGTTGTATTATGGTGCTTCACTGGAATGTGTGAGTGAGCACGTTCTTGGTAAGGCTATTGTGATGACAGCAACTGAGCATGAGAAGTTGGAGCTTCACGACCCGACGGAAGTTCACGTTGTTCCAGGTCGAGGAATTGAAGGTGTGGTGGCTGCTAGCGAGGTGACATCTCGGAGCAGGCCTGTCAACGTGATGGTGGGCAACTCTGAGTACTGTGAAGAAAAAGGCATTGAAATTGGCGAGAAAGTGCGTGCTCACATGCATGAGCTGGAGCTTGAAGGTAAAACTGTGGTGGTGGTGTGCGTGGAGAACAAACTGGTGGGTGTCATTGCCTTGGCTGATGCTCCTCGCCCGGAAGCTGCAGCTGTCATCAAGCACTTGAAGTCAATGGGACTGGATGTGTGGCTGATCACTGGTGACAACCTTCGTACAGCCAGCGCGATCGCTCGTCAGATGGGCATCAGCCACGTCAAGGCGGTGGCTCTGCCAGGCGAGAAGGCAGCTCAGATCAAGGCTTTACAGTCGCAGGTGAACCCTCTGACGCTGAAACCGCGTATTGTGTGCATGGTTGGTGATGGTATCAACGATGCGCCGGCACTGGCGCAGTCGGACATTGGTATGGCTATCGGTGCTGGTACACAGATCGCCAAGGCGGAAGCTGACATGGTGCTAGTGAAGAGTGCGCTGACCGATGTGGTGGTAGCTCTGGACTTGGCTCGTGTGGTGTTCTCTCGTATCAAGTTGAACTTCTTCTTCTCGATTATCTACAACGCCGTGGGGATCCCACTGGCTGCTGGCATGTTCTTCCCGCTGATCCACCGGATGATGCCTCCTGCCTGTGCTGGTCTTGCGATGGCTTTCTCGTCCGTTTCAGTGGTGGCGTCTTCGCTGCTATTGAAGAAGTACAAACCTCCTCAAATCTTGCAAGCCAAGGCTCAAAAGGTGCATTTTGAGGAAGACGTGCAGGTGGTTGACCTCAAGAATCTTGTACGTCTGAAGATCAGCAACGTGCGGTACGCGCCGCTGACAAATGTGGACGAGCTCTCCCGTCCCAAAGTTCCCGCTCAGTAAGAGTATGTTAGATGTGTTACTGTTTTTTTTTTGCGGAAAGCGTAGGTTGAGTGAAAACCATTTTAGTGATAAGTTAAATTTACTGTTGCAAGAAAAAAAATGATCTGTTCGATTTACTCGTCTTTTGCTCGGGCATTTGGCACTAGCTGAAGAACGTGGCCTCTACGAAATAGCGGCGTGAACGAATAATGCTGCATTAAAGTGGCAAGGATCAAGACGTTCACAGAGAAGAAGCCAAGGCCAGCAAGCCACAATGGGAAGAAAGTGTTGACGCCTTGCATCTCCAGATGATAGGCCCAGTACAACCAGTGGAGCTGCAATTTCACAAACACGTGTCAACTTTTGCATCCTTCAGGAATATTGCAACCATGCATACGACTTACCTCTCCTCCTAGCCACGCAAGGATCATCGCAAGGCCCTTCCATTTTAGTTTCAAATTTGTCAGTGGGAAGATAAGTGGCAGGAACGCAGTGTACCACAAGAAGTACTGGGTCAAATAAAAAGAGTTAGCTTACGTTCGAAAAGGTAGGATGGTGTTACGCACCTGCGCCGTGCACACTTTGTTGAAAATGACGAACACCATTGTCAACGCAAACAACGCGAAGGGGAGGTCACGGCCATAGGCAAATGAAATGGCAACGAGAGACGTAAGCTGAGGCAAAAACGCTAGGAGCCCAACACCGAACCCAGACGGAGTGTTGTATCGAAGGTAGAGATCGTAGAAGTACACTGAGAAGTTGTGGCGGTTGTCTGTGCGCGTGAAGTGGTAAAGGTACGCCTCGTACAGGAATTGAAAGCCATAGCTATTGACAACAAAACGCAAAGTTAGTAAGGCCGAACACGCGAACCAGTCAAATATAAAACTTACAGATAGTAGCAGCCAGCAGCAAGAAAGATGAAGAGCCCTCCACTCACAAGACCGAAGGCCAGGCGATCTCGATTGAGCAGTCCAGCAAACTGGGCCCACAAGGAATTGGACGAGGATATCCAATTGGCGTTTGTAGCACTAAAGTTTCCGTTGAGAAACTGATCAACAAGTAATGAACAAGATATCGTCAACCTCTGAAAAAATATTCCTTTCAGAGTAAATCATACCACAAGGAAAGCCAACGCGTAGATAATAGGGTAGATCTTGAAATGTACAGCGGCGCCATATCTACATCCAACAGCAAACCAACCAGAGGTCAGAAGGAGCAAATATCATATGGAACTGTAAAACGTACGCTAACGCAGACAGCACGAGCTGCTTCCGCATCACCAATAGCAGTGACAACATTACCAGTAGCACAACTATCGCATCTGCATTGCCCCGCGTCGAAATATTCACCGAGAATGGGTGAAACAACCACACACTGTCAATTTACCAACACCGCAAGCATCAGCATCACCGACATCGCCAATTCCTCCCAATAGTATTTCTCACCAACAATAATTGACAGCACCTGTATCAAACATCGGAATAAGTATTAAAAAAACACTAACATCACAGACCCAATTCCATTCTCCTTACTTGCATCAGGCAGTCCTCTCAGTCTCAAAATCTGGTACAAAATGTATCCGACCAGTATGTCGCAACCCACGAACAACAGCTTCCCGAACACTTCATGTACGTAAATGTTCGGCAGTAGCAAAAATGCTCTAAAACACACAATCGCAACACAATGAGAACACCCAAACCAATAACATATTAGCAAAATTGAAACTCACAGCACAGGCGTGTAGCGGTACGTGGTGCGCTCGAAAGGCGACTTACCCTCCGCCATCTCCCGTGCAGCGTCAGAGTACACGTCATAGTCCACATCCGTGTACTTGACAGCCATGTAATGATCTTGGAAGTATCCATATAGCAGCAGCACAAGTCGCGCCACCAACGCACCCCCGAAGAGCGCGAGTGTCCTTCGTGACATTGTGAGTTTGAATTCTGATATTTTTTGTAGGAATATAATTTTCGTACTTAGTGCGAATGATACATTGAACAAATCTGCGACGTGTGAGAAAAGAATCTTCAAGTGTACTGGTTCAGTCATTGCTTTTTAGTGTGAGGTTGGCGAGTCCGTAGACGACAGGGTTGTAAAGGAATCGATTCTTGAGGCGAAGATTGCGACCCCTTGTCTCATCAGACCCGAAGGTAGGGTCATTTGACGTTACAACAGGCTCTGTTGAGGTCGATACTATAGATAATGACGAGGTGCTTGCTGAGGGTGCTATGATTGCTTCGCCGATTTTTTTCAGCGCCTTACCGACGTCGTATCCTCTCGATATGTTTTGCAAAAACCCGTCAGCGAGCCGACGATTGCCGTTGAATGTCGTAGCCCACTGGTTGATGGTCAGCACATTCACTCCACAGAGAGTGAGCAGCAATGCTCGTGCGTAGGGATCACACTCGACATCTTTTTCCCATGCGGATTTGTCACTGTCAACTTTACTCTGTCGACGTGCACTCTTTGAGTTTTCAGCGTGATCGAGAAGTAGCATGGCTTGGCATGTCAGTGCAAAGTTCATACCAGTGACCTGCTGTAGTGGAAGATAGGAACCAAGCACACGGTTCGGTCCCACGTACACTAGTCCACCTCCGCGACGAGCAAGAAGAGCGTGCTGCCAGTCCGTCACACTTGGAACTTGTCCGTGTTCAAACGCATCCTTCCATCCTCCAGCTGCTTGTTTAACGACACTAGTGATCGTCTGTCCACTGGAGTTGCCGGGGTCTTCGTTGTGTGGATCTACGATGACACGGATGTCATTCGGTCTTAGAGGTTGTTTCTTCATCGTCATTAGCCTTTGATGCAGCATCTGAATGGAGAAGTCTCGAGCGATCGCATCAGCGGCCTGGAGTACTGGTAACGCCTCCATCGGAAGACAAGCGATGACTCGATCCAGAAGGAGAACCAACGTGTTGCTTGTGAGGTTGTTCTTGAGCTCTGCTTCCATGGCTGAGTGTGTAAAAAGTGGATTGAGCAACTCGACCGTATCATTAATGATCGACGTGAACTCGTCTTCGAGGATATCCTCACCTTGGTTCACTGGAGACTCCTGCGACCAAAACTCGTACATTTCGTCTTGTCCGTGAGCCTCTTCATAGGCCAAAGTCTCCTTTGCACATTTCTCTCTCCACGCCTGAATTCTCTTCTGTAGCTCACCCAGTAGCGCTGTCTGGGGTTCCGTAAATTCCATACGGACAATGGCAACACGTCTCTCAGTACTACCTAAAAATGCGGCATACAAGTAGCAACGATCAGGAGAGAAGTGAAGACACAAGACCCGAATTGAGCTTGGTAGTGCTGCCACAATCTCATCCACTCGAGTTCCCACACTCATTCGTTTAAATGACTCCGACTGTTGTGTTAGATACAACTGAGAGAGCTGGAATGGCAGACTATGAGCCTCAGCACTTGTGTGCTTTTTCTGTAGTTTCTTCATTCTTCTTAAGTGAAGACGCTGAACATTCGATTCGGATACACATTTCTCGAACAACGAAGTTGCAACCGCAATAACCTCAGCACTTTGGTGTTTAAGCACATTCTTGGCGCAATCGAAAGGGTGACGACAGCCTAAAACTTGCACCAGTTCGTTCGAACACAGCCGCAACAGCTCTGGACACTGCTTTTTGAACGCGATAAGTTGATATTTCTGAATTTCTGCAGCGTGAGCTGTCAGTATTTCTTCCAAACGAATTTCGTCGACTCCTTCCTCTTCAGTTTCTCGCTCGTCTTGAACTGGAGTTTGGCTTAGAATCTGGTTTGGAGCAGTTTGTGCTGCTGTGTCTGAGGCAACAGCGAGCTCAGCCCGCGCTCCATGACAGCAAACCCACGTTGCATGACGTGCGTCCGACGACGTGTATTGAGTCCACAAATGAGTTCGGAGCGCATCCGCTTTCTGTCTATCATCTCCGTGGAAAAGTGCGAGCCGTTGACACTGAAGCCTCAGCACTTGAGCGATAGCATGCTGAATTTCCAAGACGGGATTGTCAGAAAGCGTGTGAATTGCAGAAGTGATCAGGGTCATTGCACGTGGCAATTCAAATGAATTGCTTCTCTCCTGTCCAGATTCAGTTGCGTTAAGCCACTTCTCCACCACGCTACGTTGACTATTATCGTAGTATCGATACCACGTCATCTCTTTTTCTTTGATGGTTGCAGGCGATAACTCGGGTGCCATCAGGAGTCGAGCGACTTGCAGTTTAGTCAACGCGACCTTCAGTCCCAACGGCGCCACAATCACCTCTCTGTGCGTCTCTGCTTGACTCGAGGGAGACGAAAAGGAGAATTGACTTGCGAAGCATTTCTCCAGTATTATCTGCGCTTCTTGAAGCAAACTTTTTGCGTCTAAACCGACACTGGTGAGGTCTAAGTCGACAGAATTTTGCTGAAGTGATCGCAAAGTTACTGCGTATTTTGTCAGTAGCTGACTGCGTTGATAGTGTGCGTCAATTTGAGTAAGCATGTGCATGCTCTTCTCGATAGCTCGCTTGGTATCCTGTAAATATTCCATATTATTATTAGAGGCTCGAGATATACCTGCTTTCTTCAACAGTATCATCGCTTGCTTAAATGTCACTCGAGCCATTAGCAGGACCAACGTAACATCCGGAGAACTTGTAGCTGTGTCCTTGTTGAAATTTGTATGAACAGCTGGGCGCCGCATTCCAGAGATGATAGTTTTAGCAGCGTGTTTCTCTGCATCCTTCAGTATTCTGAGGGATTCATCGAACTCGGGATTGAGCCTACAGCACCGCAGAGTCCACTCCAAGAAGCGACTAACATCCAGTTGTGAATTTTTCAATGCACTCTTTACTCGTGCTAATGCCTGATCGCTTTGACCTTCGATCTCCAAGACCCGACTGAATAAAACTTCACACTCGCTTGTCAACACGGACGGATTAATAGAGCTTTCAGCAGAATTTCGCAGTATCTCTAATAGAGTTTTCGCTTGGCGGACAAACCCAAACTGCAAGAGTAACTCAATCGACTTGACTGCTTTCTCCTGTGTGTCCAGGCGTGTACTTTGAAACACGTGTCTTTTTCTCGATACAAAGTCTCCCTCGGGTAGCTCAGTAGTTGTCTGAGCTTCTTGTATCTCCTTAATCAATGCATCTCCGTGAGACTGAATCATATCTAATGCGTTTTGCAGTGGCAACGAGAAGTTACTCAAATTCAAGCGTTCCATGAGGTCAAATTGTGAAAGATCCATCCAAATCTGCGCGATAACAGTCCGCTGAGGAATATATGCATAAAACAGCACAGTGTACAGACAAAACGAAGCGACCATGCTCGGGTATTGGAGTCCATCTTGACGAAGCATTACAAGCAATTCTTCTAAACATAAGAGCGTGAGAACTGGCTGCGTAATATGATCTCTACTCGACTGCAAAGCCTTAATCCATGACATATAGAACCGATTCGCGGCATTCTCTTCGTGATCCATAAAGAAATTTATCCAATCACGTTCCGATACAGGATTCACGTACTTTGGCGTCTGGTCCTGCTTCCACTCGTCAAACTCAACTCTGTTAGCCGCGTCGGGGTTCTCTCGATCATATGTAGCGTGGAATTCAGTGTCATTCATCATCATGATAATGTGTTCCCAAGCTTTCACCACCTCGTACAGCGCTAATCGAACGTACTTCGATCTCTCGGTACAAGTTTTTGATAATGTCGCACGCATCACAAAAATACGAAGAAGTTTTTCAGCAAACCACAATGGTGAGTACACAGCGGTAGAAGTCTGTCGTGAGGGTGCAGATAGCTGATCAGTCGTAGGTTTTCGTGATATTGCTCCTTGTGAAGCTGCTAGCTGCTGTTTCTGACAATTCAGCAGCGTTGATGTGGCACATTCCAGATAAGCGTCAGCGTTCTGAGTTGGGAATTGATTCGTGAATAGCCACTCTGCAATATCGACGAGTACGAGCGCCTGTTCTTCTGGTTGCCCATCGAGCTCTGTGTAGGCACTCGACAACGCTTTGAGCTGTGCAGATGGGTCTTTCCAGGATGCAAATGCTACTTTCTTTAGTATTTGAGCTTGAACTAGTGATTGTTGAAGTTGATCTGGAGATTTCGAGCTGCCTCCGCTCTTTAGCATACTAATCGTCTTACCAATGCGAGCACCTGCAATCGCAGATGTCGTTTGAATCTCCTTCATGATGTCACGAGGTAATGCTGCTCGATGAGAATTTGGTCCAAAGGTTTTTAGTACAGAATCACAAATCTCAAATTGGTCGCTCCACTTGCTCGCTTTTTCACAAACTGTGAGCGTTAGCAGTACCATCTCGCCATAAAAGTTGAGATCTGCTTCAGCAGATGTGATAATTTGATCAAGATAACGTAGCGTTTTTCGCAAATTGTCTACAATTCGATCCAGGAAATTGTCTTCTGGCGCCTCACTATCGAGATTTGCACTTGGAATTAGTGCAGAGATGGTCGCATTCCAGATCACTTCGCTAGCTCGAATAACGATAGTAGAGATGTTGCCACGAAGACCGTACTCGATCGCTCGTACAAGATGCGATAGTGAAGCAAGAATTAACTTTTGGGCGGGGTTATCTCCATGCCCTAAGGCCAATATCGCACGCGCATAAAGCAACTCAGCAAGAGCGAACCACTTCCAAGTGCTTGACACAATAAGTAGCTGAGTCAGTTGCTTAGGTTTCTTGTCTTCACTAGACTTGACGACCTGCAACGCCTCCTCTGCACAGTCAATTGAATACTTGGTATTCTTCAGTCGGAACGCGCCACAACCGACTCGAACCCATATTTCCACATACAACTCCATCAACTGCTGGTCTTCTTCAAGTACTCGCCCCGATTCATTGCTCACAGACGAAGTAAAAATGTCCGATGCAATTGTCTGCCACATTGTGGTGGCCTTCTGATAAAGCCCTTGAGCTTTCTCTTGTAGCTGCTGTTGTTGTGCTCCAGGTTGTAACATTTGTTTAAATGTCACTTCCATCGCTTCCAGATACGCTACAACCTTTACTTGTGGTGTGCTGCTGTCTGTAGGTGTGATGTCCTTTGAGTTTTGAGCAACTTGGACTCTTGATTTCAACTCTGCGAATCTTTTAAGGTGTAGTACACTCATGCTGTTATTCGCAGAAGGTTTTCGTTTCAAGAAGGTATCTGCAATAGCTAAAGCTTTGTCAAGTCGACCAGTCTTTTCGTAAATACTTGAAAGCCCAAGTCCGATATTAGCAAGAAGATCACTGTCCACACCATCAGCACCTTCAAGAGCTGCGTAAACCGCTTCGAATGCATTGATACATTCAGGCAAAACCCACTGAGGATCAAATGTATCCACAGAGCTACTCGATGTCATCTCAACCAGCATGCGGAAAATGTGGAAATGGTAATTCCACAAGTAAATGCAAGTGTTCTCCAATACAAAGATCCATCCGATTTTAGTTGCTGCCTTCAGCGCTTTCGTAAGCTGCTCGAGTATTTCCACCTTAATCGAATGGATTTCTTTGCTTTGTCGAGCTTGAAGGTTGGTACATTCATCTAACTCGGTGTCCTCTGTACTTGGTTCAAGTGGCGTGTTGTCGTCTTTATACGGACGATGTATTCCCAGTACAAATGCCTCCTTCCCCAGTGATATCAAAGCTGTCAGATCAACGTTTGATTTCCTCCCGATTGACCTCCCACCGAGCGACTCCGAATTTTCCGCCTGACGACGTGCGTTATCAACTTGCACAGCCTGATCCTTTAGCTTCGTCGCGAGGATTTCCATCATCAAAAGTCTCAGGTCTACCTCGAGAATCATCAAACTTTTCTCGTTTAAAATGCTCTTGGGAGCCATAATTTCTCCTGTTTCACTTGTAGAAAAGTACTTCGACAAGGCTAACTCAGTGGTCTGTTGAGCCAACGCACCATCATGTAAACAATTCCATGCGAGCGATGAAATCTCGCTCCATAGTCTGACATGATCCGCAGCGCCAACCGAATCCGACGCACTAATCATAGTCATCAGATCAACGCACCGAGCAAGAATATTCCGTTGCTGTATGAGGTCTTTTCCCTCTTTCACTTGATCCAACATCGCTAACACTTCAACTGACCTAGAAGTCGAGATCTCAGCAGCAAGTTTCAAGTCCAATTTTTGCTTAATAGGAAGCAAATGCGTGTCAACAGGTCGAATCATCCACTCTTCATGCGCACTTAGTAACTCAACTGTCATCGATGAGGTATCACTTGCTCGAGAAATCGTCCCATAGTCCAGAGCGAGAGCTTTACAAACATTCGCGTTCGCCTTGGCAAGGAAATCGGACGCCACCTCAAGCTTCGCGATCTCCAAGTAAAGCCGTGCACGAAATCCGAGTAGTAACGAGTCAAGATCCTCCATAATAGACGACGCTATGCCCAGCACCCGACCCAAATTATTTCGCAAGTGAGGCTGTAACAATGGTAACGACAGGTTCCAAGCGTAAATACACACCCTCTCGATCAACTGCGGGTCCTGCTGCCGTTTGCTGGCTAATAATGCGCGCTCAAACGCCTTCATTCCCTCCACCCGTCGAGAGAGAAACATACTTTCACGTTGTCGAGAGCTTATCTTGCCACTAGCATGTGTAGACGGCATTACAATGAGTAAAGTTGCAGTAAGCACTTGACACAAAACTCGAGTTTTCGGTGGCATGTTTTTGCCTTTGCGTTGAAGCACGATGTCACATGCTGCTGCTATGGGTAAAACAGAGTTAAAAGCAGCATGGATTCCAGTTTCAACCACCACTTCAGCGTCAATGGCTTCCAATACACGCGGCTCGAGAGATCCCACAAATGTTTTAACGTCTTCAAGCGGTGTTTCAACGTTAAAACCCACGAGACCCGTTGATTCCTGGAATATTTCAACATACGCGGCTTCCAACGTGCCAGCAACGTTACCAGATTTAACACACTGGAGTTTTACCAGCAACGCTGCTCGCTTATCAGTCGGTGGCAGGAGCTGTTTGACATTGGGCACGATCTTCTGACACTCTGGGTCTTTAAATGATCCCACATGGACTTGGAGTCGCAAGGCTTCTTCATACAAAGCCTTGAATGATACGTCACCTTTGGTGAGTTCTGCAAGGCGAGGAGCGAGCTGCACGTCCACAACGTCGTTAATTGTCTTAGCAGCGTGTGATAGTTGACTGGCATCAACTTGACCGTAGATTAGAGCGAGTTGGAGTCGAACAAGCCACGCCACATCCGACTCTGCGGTCAATTTGAGTGCGTCGATGATCTTCGTTAAAGACGGCACGAGAAACTGGAACGTGGATTGTTTCATGAGCTGGCGAGCAATCTGCCAGTACGTGACAGACGCATTGTAGACGAGAAAATCGTACACGGGACGTTTACGAGTATCCGTCGCGATCGGGATTACAGCGAGAATGAAATGGATCGCATTTAGCACCTTCTTGAGCTTCAATATCCCCGTATCAGCATGTGCATCATGCGAGCCGCAATGAGCTCGTACGAATTGTGCTCGACAGTAAAACTACAACAAACATCAAATGTTAATTCTTCAACAGCTAATATTCACTTTTCGTAATGCTTTTACCTGGTTTTTAACCTGACATTCGCTGAAAAACCAGTCGATACTCCTCGATGCCGTGTCGAAATCTCCTTGGAGCACCGCAGCTTCAGCAGTGAGCACCAAAAGCTCCGGTAGATTCATATCAGCAGTCACACCCATACACGGCACGCAGGTTTGCTGGTAAATTGCCGTAAGACGGTCAAGAATTCCTCTCGCTGTAGGTCTCACATCTTTCGAGGAGCTCTCAGTCTCTGCTGATCTCGCGAACTCCAGCAGACGCCGCAGCTCTCGATCCAACGCCATGACTGCAATGAAACTCTGTAGATCCCAAAGTGTGACCTTTTAAACACGTCGAGAACGAGAACGATGATCAAAAATATATTATAGATCCACGCTCTGATACCAATCATCTCATGTCCTAGTTCTTCTTCTTCGCCAGACCCGACACAATGTCGTCGATGCGCAGCAGCATGCACGCAGCCTCCACCGCTGTCTTGATGGACTGCGTCTTGACCTGGAACGGTTCCCACACGCCCAGCTGCTCGGATGGCGTCACTTTGCCCGTCACGCCGTCCACGCCGTACGACTCGTCCGTCTCCGCCTGCTTGGCACGCAGCGACGTCATGACGCGCACCACGTCAGCGCCGCAGTTCTGCAGCAACGTACGCGGAATAACCTCGAGCGCCTCGCCCACTGCCCGGAACGGGAACTGCTCCACACCTTCGATCTCGTCCGCGCGCTTCTTAAGTTCGTGCGCCAGACGCATCTCCGTCGCGCCGCCGCCAGGCAGCAGAAGCGGCTCAAACACCACGTTACGCGCCACTTGCATGGCGTCCTGAAGGTTCCGCTCGATCTCGTTAAGTACGTCCTTACTGCCACCACGCAGCAGGATACTGCAGGCGCCGGGGTCCTTGCATTCCTCGAAGAAGGCAAAATACTCGTCGCCCAGCTTGCGCACCTCAAAGAGGCCGCACTTGGTGCCAATATCGGACTCCTGGATCTCGTCAGCACGGCTTACAATAGTCGCGCCGGTGGCACGAGCCACACGGTTGTTGTCCGTCTTCCTGAGACGACGGAACGCCGTGATGCCGGCCTTGACAAAGTAGTGCTGGGCCAGATCCGACACTCCCTTCTCCGTAATCACCACGTCGGGTTTCATGGCTACAACCTGGGCGCACAAGTTCTCAATGTATTCCTCTTCCAGACGCAGCAACGTGTTCCAGTCCTGGTCGTTCGTGAGCTCCACGTTCGTTTGACTCTCGCCCTTCTTGTACTCCAGAGGGCAGTCCAGCAGCAGCACACGCGGGTTCTCGATACGGCGACGCATCTTGGAGTGCGTCACGTCCTTGTTGAACATCACTCCCTTAAGTACACGGCTGTCTTCGAGCTCTCCGCCCGGGATCTTCTCCACTTTAGCGTATCGCTTAACGTCCACCTCCTTCTGGCCCGAAGCCGAGGTACGCACCACCGTAAGTACGGCGTCTAGTGCCAAATCACTCACCAAATTGCCCACACGAGGGGAGAATTTGGTACCGATTGAGGACTGTACCAGGTTGCGCATATCTTCCTTGTTCTCAATGTCAATGGGACACGCCAGCTTCTTGGCGATCTCCAGGGACGCGTTGAGCGCACGGTTGAAGCCCCGAATGATCACAGTCGGGTGCACCTGGTGGCCCAAAAAGGGCTCGGCCACGACCAGCAGTTCGCCCGCTAGAATGATGACGGACGTGGTGCCGTCGCCCACTTCCTCGTCCTGTGCGCGACTGAGCTCGATCATGCTCTTAGCTGCAGGGTGGGCCACGTCCACTTCGCGTAGAATGGCGTTGCCGTCGTTGGTCATGACGATGCCGCCCATGGGGTCCAGCAGCATCTTGAGCATCGAGCGAGGACCCAAAGTGGTGCGCACAATGTCGGACACAGCCTTGGCGGCCTCGATGTTTCCAAGCTGCGCGGTGCGACCAGTCTCGCGCTTGGTGTTAGTGTCTGAAGGAGGGAGGTTAGAGCAACGGCGTGCCAGGGGGTTATACGCTAAGGATACGTACTGAGAACCATTACGGGGGCCTGCATCATGGTGGAGGTGTCGAGTCTGCTGACGATCTTGTGGCTGGTTGGGCTCGGAGGGGCTACAAATGTAATTGTGGAAGTTTGATGTAGTCAACATAATATTGTGTTGATTTTAAGGAGCGTGAAATTACTTGATTTCAGTAGTTCGCAAGTTGAAGCGGCTGGGAGACCCTTTCACAGAGCAGAATAGCTACAGCCTTGCTAGTGGACATGCGAGTTGTTTGGGAAAATGCCTTGTATGCCCGCTGTGCTGTAGCTACTCCGCTTCATATGTTACGTGTTGGTGACGATGGCCTCGAGAGAGTCTCTCGTTGGAATCCTTGACAGAAAGAAGTCCAACTGCAGAAATGAGGGCGATTACGGTACGGCGCAGCTCTGACGGATTCTGGAGCTTTCGGAATCAATTTGGGGATTTGGTTGTCTTAGGAACAAACCTGCTGCCGATGTTGCGCAGAACTTATCTCAACCCAGGCGTGGACAAGGCTTTTGACAATCCTGATTAGATACTTTGAGCAACTACGTGGGCATGGTTTACAAGAAGTACAAGTATTGCTTAGCTACTTCACATCAGCATATTTGCAGGCAAAGCGCTTGTAACTGTTTTGATGTTGGCCAAATAAAATATTACATGTACCACGAATTTGCAAGCTAGGATTGTTTTAAACACTTGTTGTAAAAAAAATAACACACAATTCTAGGTTTGTTGCTTGCGTTCCCGAGCTGCCATATATCCATATAAACTATTACATCGAGAGAATTTTGTTTACCTTTAATATCCGCGAACATTGCAATCCAAATGGCAAACTGAGTCTCACTTCCGAAGTCACTGAACAGATCGCTTTACGTGAGCTGAAAGCTTGTCCAGCATCTTCAGTTTTCGGCGTGTAGCACTGCTGCATCCCAAGGTATGTACGTAATAGACGTAGAGTAGTTTGATCTTGAGAAAGATGCAGCTGAATATCCTCTTCTGTCCACTTCCTGTCTGCATGGGACAAACTCGCCCTTCAACGTGTATCACCGGGACGTTCATTTCGGATCCTGGATCGTAAGCGGAACGAGCAATCTCTCTGTAGGTCTATGGGCCATAGGCTATGGCCCAAACTACCATCCATTACCTAGGGAACAATGAGACTAATCGCACCGCTGCTGGGCATGCTACTCGCTCCATGCAGTTATCCGCTTTCCTAAAGGATCAAGGCCCGCAAGCAGGGCCGCGAAATCATGACAAGCACGCGCAGCCCGATCAGGTGGGATGTCCAAGAGGCCCTGTCTCCATGACGAACAATACTGGCTACGCTCGGTTGGATCGGCCAGCTTTGCTTTTCAATCTCACATTTGCCTAGTCTCCAACAGCACGAAAGCAAGCATCACTCTCAACATTTAACCCCTCGAAACCATGGTTCAGAGCTCACCCCGTGACTACGACATCGCTATCGTCGGTGGCGGCATTGCCGGTGCCACCCTCGCCGTCGGTCTAGTGCGCGCCAACGTCCCCGTCACGCTGTACGAATCGGCCAAGGCATTCGGTGAAATCGGCGCCGGTGTCGCACTCGCCGCCAATGCCGCGCGTGCAATGGAACTCTTGGCACCAGACGTGAAACGCGGCTTCGATCGCGTCGGCACGTTTAACTTGTCGACAGCCAAGAAGAACGTGTGGTTCGATTTCCGTAAGGGTGTCGGTACCCAAGGCAGCAACGTCGACGACGGAGCAGGTGAACTCATTACCAGCGTCGAGACACCGGCGGGATCGGCTTACGTACATCGTGCCCACTTCCTTGACGAGATGGTCAAGCTCATTCCGGACGGGGTTGCAAAGTTCGACAAGCGTCTGCAAGACATTGAGACGCTCCCCGACGGCAACGTCAAGCTCAAATTCGTCGACGGCACGGACGCCGTACACAGCGCCGTGATCGGTTGCGACGGCGTCAAGTCGCGAACGCGCAAGGTGATCCTCGGCGAGAACGACCCGGCCGCTAACGCCGTCTTCTCCGGCAAGTACGTATACCGCGGTCTGATCCCTATGGACAAGGCTGCCGCTCTGCTGGGTGACGAGATGGCTCGCAATAGCCAAATGTACTTCGGATACCATGGCCACGTGCTCACGTTCCCCATCCAGCACGGCGACGTCATGAACGTGGTAGCGTTTGCCAGTAAGGACGAGTGGAAGGACCCGAACTGGGTCGTGGGTACCACAAAGGAGGATCTAACCAAGGACTTTGTGGGCTTCTCCAAGCACGTCCGCGACATCATTTCTATGATGGAGAACACCGATATCTGGGCGCTGTTCCACCACCTTCCTGCTCGCACCTACACGCGCGGTAACATGCTGGTCATTGGCGATGCGGCCCACGCTACGACGCCGAATCACGGATCCGGAGCTGCCATGGCCATCGAGGACGCCTACGTGCTGTCGTCGCTGCTGGCCGACGTTTATCACTCATCCGATCTGAAAGCTGCTTTCCAAGCATTCGAGAAGGTGCGTCTGTACCGCACACAGAAGGTGGTGACCACGAGTCACGAGGCTGGCAAGTTATACGACTTCGAGCTTCCTGGCTACGAAGATGACGTTAAGAAGATCGCGGAGAACCTGCAGAAACGCATGCGCTGGATCTGGGAGGAAGACCTAGAGCAGGAGGTAGTGGACGCCAAGATGTTCTTCAAGACAGCGGTCAAGCAAAAATATTAGACACGAGGTGGCACTGGAATGTCGGGAGAGTTACTTTCGGGAGTCGGTAGATCTAATGCTGAAATTACTTGATTTCCCTATTTCAGAAGTTGAAGTTAACGTGCCAGTGTTCGCTTTTGGATTTTATCGACACGAATAAACTCTACGTTACACTGAACGTGCAGTTGGCAAGGTCTTCACTCATTGTCCATAGTGCAGCAGCATCTTCTTCAGAATGACTAGCAGCGCTGGATTTGGCCTTTGTTGGGCCTTTGCCTCGAATCTCCAAGAACCCATCGGGGCCGAAGAAGTCTCCACTTCTAACCGATGCGTCCGTCGCGGCGAAGATCGACGGAAGCGCACCGCGCTCAGTAGCTTGCATGATGTGAAGCATGTCTGCCAGCTTAACGATGAAGCTTAGCATCCAGGATGGGAGGTAGGTCGCAAGCAGTTTGGGCGCAATATCCGACGAGGTGATGCCAGGGTGAGCAGCCACGATGATCACTCTGTCTGCCAAACCCGCTGCCGTAATACGTCGATCCAGCTCGAACGTGAAAAGCATGTTGGCCAGCTTGGACGTTCCATATTCTTTTGCGTAGAGCTTCTTATTAGGTTTGGACCTGGCCAATGTGCTTAGATTCATCTTCACCCAGCGGTGTGATAAGCTGCTCACGTTCACAATACGAGAAACTCCATCTCCATTTTTAAGGAGATCGAATAGAAGATGCGTCAGGTAGAAATGACCTAAATGGTTCACAGCGAACTGCATCTCGAGGCCGTCGGGTGTGTGCGTTGGGTGGGGCACCAGAATGCCCCCGTTGTTTACTAGCAGGTCTAATCGGTCGAATTTGGCTTGGAAAGTCTCAGCAAAGACTCGGACGCTGTTCAGGTCGCTCAGGTCGAGTAGCAAGAATTCCACGGCTGCGGTCTCTGGTTCCAGTTCCGACTTGATGGAGTCCACGGCCTTCTGCGCGCGCTCAGCATTGCGGCAAGCGAGCACCACGTGCGCCCCTTTGCGAACCAACTCCAGAGCCGTAGAGAAACCGATTCCCGAGTTGCCGCCCGTGACAACCGCCACTTTTCCAGCTAGCGACGGAATCCGTGAGACGTCCCACATTAAGGAGGAGAAACAGCCCAAACCCAACTTCCGAGAAATGTCCTTAAACCCAGGAGCTGACGGCGGTTGGATGCCATTCAGAAGAAAAAAAAATTAAATTTTTGATGTTTTTTGTCGTCTGAATGCCATCCCGGCCAATCAGATCTCTCATGAGCGGTTGTTGTCAATTTTCATCCGTTCATACGTTTTCTTTCAATAATTTTTATTTTCAACATTCGGTTTTTAGCTTTTTTTTAAAAAAAACTTCTAAATATTTCTTAAAAATATGAACTCGGTAGTCGGACGCTTATCTTATTTGCGGCGATATAATACAATGAATGTATAGGGACTATTGCTTCATACTACAGGCGTGCATGCACTGGCCAGCTTTCGCGTTTATTGGCGCCGGTTGCGACACGAAAAAAAGGAGCAAGTGCACGCCGTGCAAGCAAATTGATCAATTGCTGGCAACAATTGATCCCTTCGCTAAAACTAAAGTTTTTGGAGACTGCAGCAGCAACACGCAACGGACACATCCGCTCGATGCTGGCTTTGCTTTCCCGGTGGAGACGACTCGGTGTCTTGATCCCTGCTCTCACCCGGCATAATTTGACGTTTGAAGAATTGGCTCATTGGCCTATCCATCCTGGCGACGGCGTACCAGTTTGCTGCGTCACCACGAATCAATTCGGAGCCCATCCACCGATATCATGATCCCATTGCTGAAAGTAACAACCGCATCCACCAGTCACGAGCCACCTTGCTTGAATACTAGTAGTATGGTTTCGTTCACACCTCGCCCCTTGTCGAAATTGAAGTCATGTGCGGAGGACAAAGCACCAGTTCGCCTTGGTCGATGACAGTGGCACGAGCACCGCCACGCCGTTTCTCTACATGTACGACCCCGCCGACTCGGCGGCCGAGCCTCGTTCTTATCATTGCCGCAGACAGGTCCTGAAGCGAGTTCGTCTTGTATTTAGTGTAGGTGAAGACGTTGCAAATCCTTGAGCAAGTGCGCACCAAGCGTACGATTGCCAAAACGTGTCACGTGAGGGTCAACCTGACAATGTTGATACAAATACAGGCTGGGAAATGCCGGGTGCAACCTCCGTGACCCCCTCCTCTTCCGATCACAGCCAGGTTGGTCTCACTTGTCCCTCCACCAACTGATGGCATGCGCAAGGGCTCATTCCGACATTCGCGAGCTCGTGACTGATCCAAAATTGCCGGCGCAATGGAGTTCAAGGAGTTCCGCAACCGCTCGGCGCGCGAGCCCTTCACGAGCCCGTACCCTCCGATGGAGTTGTCACCAAAGGAGAAGGACCTCTTACGTCAGCTTGCCAAGGATTTGGTGGCTGTGAATTTAGACGAATTCGAGGAGTTCCTCTTCGACAACAACGGAATTCTCCCAGAGCACCAGTGGGAATTTGTGCGTCGTGACGAACAGGTCGAGACCTTCCTCCGTCGTCGTGAAAAATACGGTCTTCGTGGCTTCGGTGCCACCAAGCGATTCCGTCGCGACACGTCCGACACCAGTGCGAGTATGAGTAGCACTAAGAGTGATGAGCTGACGTCTCTGGACGTGGCAGATATTCGCTCCGTCGGATTCAAGGACGGCACGATTGAAGACGGCGTCTACGGTGCCATGAGTCCCACAACGGAAGTCTTCCGCACCAAATCTGCGTACGTTGACGACAAAATCGAGGAGTGCAACGTGCTTGCTCTCATCGACAACGTCACGGACTCTGATCCGTTCACATCGTTGACTGTCCGCTGGCGCGTGACGGAGAACCCACCGATCATGCGCACATTCCTCAAGAGCTACGACCATATCTACCTCGAGGCCACGGGGTTTACCACGCTGAGCAACGGAGACCGCGTGAGCTACCAGCTCCTGCACTCCATCGATTTCCCGCATTTAACTCCTCCACTTTCTACCCATTCCCGCGGTCAAGTTGCTGCCATCTTGTTCATGCGCCAGGTTGACGAGGACACCGTCCAGATTCACGGCCGTGGAGTATTCGCCATTCCATTCGAGCGAGCACGCGGACTCTTCACGCACATGGTTCTGGTTTCCATGTCCAAGTCTTGTATCAACATTTTCTTCGCGGCTCAGATGAAAAAGTTGCGTTGGGCCCTTCGCGAACGAAGGAAAAGAGGTGTTGACTCGGGTGTACTGTCGATCTCGGGTATAAATGAATGCAAGGTCTGCCAGAAGACGCCTACAGTCCGTAAGGGATACAACTGCATGCTCTGCGGGGAGTTTGTGTGCAAGTCGTGCAGGGTTACGCACAAAATCGCAGATATTGGCCCGGACAACAAACTCTACTGGACGAAGGCGATCGTGTGTCCGTTTTGCATGACTCAAGTGATCAAGTCGGACGTGTCGATCACGATGCGCTCCGAAATCGCAGCAGGAGAGTACCCGGACCGAGACACGAAGGTCATGTAGAAAATTTACTTGAGGTAGTTAGTAGATTGCAGCAAAGCCATTATCACATCAGCGCTTATATAAATTTGTTTCTTTTGGTTCGAACACGAAACTACAACACGACAGATGTTGGACTCTGTCTGGTAGTACACCACAGCTGTGCCAGCTGGAGCGCTACGGTTTTCAAGCTCGCATCCTACTCATCTGTTCTGGAAATTATCCTAGTTGTTAGTTATCCATGCCACTGCGCTGGGTTGCTGCAGCGAACGCAACCCAAACGGGGCAATGATCTGAGAGTTCGTAGCCGCATTGTACGCGCGACATATACGTCTGAAGTCGAGGGATCATCGTGTCCATCGGGTTCTGCGCGGAAAGACGAGTACTCTTTGAAGGAGGATAGTATCGCCAATCAACGCGAAGCACTCCGCTGTCCACGGAATATTTGTGCTTACGATCGACGTTGCTACTGAAGTCTGCAGGATTAAGCCAAATGTTGTCGTAGAGTTTACCGAACACTGTAGTCGAAAGAGGTGAGCGAATCAGTGCCATTTTGTGTGATCCGAGGCTACCAAGCACATCCTGCGGTGACAAATTGAAGTCTCCCAGTACCAATACCTTCCGTTTGTTCGGTACAGATGCACTCAACTCATTTGCCAACCGATTAATCTCAACAATCTCAGCGTGACGACTCTCTTTTTCGCCAAAAGAAACGTGCACATTCATCAGTGCAAGCTCCAGCTTTGGCAATCCCGATTCTTTTTTCGATCGAAAAATAGCAACACACGGTAACCGCGTAAACACTTCGCTGCTGCCTTCGAGCAGCCAGCACTTCTCAACAAGCCGAACAACGCTACGTCTGTAAAAGAAAGCGTAGCGTTCGACCCTTTTCTTGGTTCCCGGTGACTTGCGCCCCACCGGCTCGGACACTACATAGTCCCAACCAGGCAACATCGTCTTCAGTCTTTTTAGCACAATCAAATCCCTCACCTCCTGCAGTGCGACGATGTCGAACTCGTCCAAAGTATCGGCAATTCGTTGCAGTAAAAACACTTCTTTTCGACGTGAAATATTGCGGATGTTCCAACTTGCCACAATTAAGGCGCGGTTGTCACCATTATTGTGATTCCACATTGGGAAAATATTTTCACGGATGTCGCTCTCAATCTCTCGACAAATGTGGAAGGTTTCATCACTTTTGACCCTTTCTTCTCCACTGTCTTCACTGTCGTCGCCCCCAGTCTCTTCTTCATCGAGGGAATCAGAACTTGCTCTCACATATGCCCCTGCTTGTATTTTCACGTAAGATTTTGTTCCAATACCTTTCACGGCCAAGAGATCTTCTTTACGATGGAACGGCCTGGCATCGACGATCCGTTGGGCTAGTACCGGGCCCACTCCCTTAAGCTGCTGTAATTGTCTCTTGGATGCAGTGTTCAGGTCGATTTTAGTGGAAGTGGCAGTGAATTTAGCGTTTGCTTCGGCTTTTGGCTTTTCGTCCACGTAAACCTGATTTTCAGCTGTGATGGCTACGAATTTGACGGGACCAATGCCTTTCACTCGTAGTAGATCCTCGACAGAGGAGAAGGGACGTGCCTCGACGATTAATCGCGCTGTCACGCTACCCACACCGGGCAATTGCTGCAGGTCGCGAGGTGTCGCCGTGTTCAGGTCCATTTGCCACCTGGAAGCTGCAACTTTTCCATCTAGATTTTGGCACACTTCTTGCAAATGCACGTGATTGGTTCAAATTCACCTCACGATTGATGTTGAACACAATTTGTTTCGCTGAGACTTTTGATGGCAATTATCCACCTCTTCGTTATTACCAATGCGATTATTTTTCTCGTTGAATGGAAGTGACCAAGACATGGACGACCAATGTCCTCCGCTTTCACTCCAGTGCCCTCCGCTTTCACTCCAGTGCCAGAGAAACTGGCATTGTCTATGATGGAGACCTGTTCGCTCGCACTTTCTTGCTGCAGAAAGTCTCTCTGTAGCACCACCAAACCCGTGTCAATGCTCCATTGCTACCTCATTTTCAAACCTGCAGCGAGCCGGGTTCGAGTCTGGTCATGCCTTCTCCTTCGACGTCGCTGTCACAGTCGCCGTCCGCTGGTGCATCGCCCCGATCCTCGTCGGAACCAGAGTCGGCAGTCCAGACCGCATCAACTCCAAATCCTACAGCATTGGTCGACGGGGTAGCAAACCCAGACCAGAATGCAGACAATGACCTAGACATGGAACACACCAACACGGCACCGTTCACTGCACAACCCGCTGAAGATGGAGACAGTGAGTCGAGTTTGTGGGATATCATCGGCGATTCTCACCCGAAGCTGGATAGCTACGGTGATCCTTCCTATGACCAGGAAAGTGCGGAGTCGACTTCGGGATTTATGTCCCCGGCTCGGTCAACGCTTACACCTACAGCTCCCATGACCTTAGCCCCATCGCCCGTTCCGTCGGCTAATCTGCTGCCGCTGTATGAAGAGTGAGTATCCTCGTTGACTTGTCTTTTGTTCTGAGGATTTCTGACTTGAGGAGTATGATACTTTTCATCTACCAGCTTGCTTGGTGAAGGAGCATTGCCGCAGTTGCCTTTGCTGATGCACAACCAGCAACCTTTCTCGGCTTTTTCAAGCCCAAGTCACTATATCACCTTCGAGGCGCGGCAGGACGGTGATCCTTTTGGTACGAAATCCACCCCATTTTCATCTATTTTGTGGCCTTGTCAGCTTATAACATGACTTGTTGTATCCAGAATTGTCGAAGCCTATCGTCCGCGAGGACGGTCTGCTAATCGTGGGCACAGAAGTCACAGCAAATCTCCCACCCGGCGAGAAGAACAGGATTTTCGTGACCAATTTTCTGGCCCCAGCCGGGTCTCAACCACCAGCTCACATCATGGTGGAACAGGTGTGAAACTCGCTGATGTAGGCGATGCGAGTATTGCTCTAATGCTTATTTCCTTGCAGGAGGTTCGTGACATCCAGTGGATGGGGGGACAAGCCGCCATCGTCGCCATCGGCAAAGAGATTCAACTCATTCAGATAGCAATCGGTGGACCCTGTAGGCTTCAAGGTACGTTCTACTCATGCCACTCTTGTCTATTTAATGAGCTTTACTTACCATCCAAATGTACTACAGATGCGATCAACTCGGTCCACTCCGATGCAATTCGTGAACTTGCTGTATCTCCTACCAGCAGCTCGCTAGTGGTGTCTGGAGGTAGGCATTTCGAGGTTCTTCTACGTGAGTTTGATCTCACGATGCTTGACAACTTTGTTCCAAACAGGTTTCGACCAAACTGTGGTGTTGACGGATCTGCGAAATCAAGGAGATCCCACGGCTGCAGCTGTGATCGGCAAGTTTGACGCCTGTGACGTGGTAAGCAGCGTTCGTTGGTCACCTGAATATTCTCAAGTGAGCTGGACAACCGATGGAGGAGACTTTCAGGTCGCGGACACTCGGGCTCCTTCGTCACAGCTCCAAGTGCCTTTTTACAATTATCTGGTAAGTGATCGTCGCCAAGTTACTCATAGAAGAATTTCCATGCTAACTTCGCCTAACTCTTGTGCTGACGTAAAGCAGAATGCTGGCACATTGGGTAGCCTCTTCACGCACGAATACTTGAGCAGCTTCTACGTCACTCTCGGTTTCGAGCGTGGTCACATCGCCTTCGTTGATCTCCGCATGCCTCGGCAGACTTCTTGGTACGCTGTACACAAACTTCTCTGAAAAACGATCAAGCATTTACGTTACTATCACCTTTTTTTTATCTAGCACCTCGCTGGTTGAGTCCAATTTGACTAGTGTGGGTGAAATCCGACGTTCCAAGTCCAACAAGTTCGCGATATTTGGTCTCGGCGGGTACGGTTTTATCCTCTCGATAATATTCTTCCATTGATCACTCACAGTGTTCGTTTTTTCTGCCAGGTTCTCGAGGGCGAGCCTCAATGGAGCAGCCAGCAGCTTAGAGCAGATCACTCTGTACGTGGCTATCTCGTCGTATTACGTCGAGGCATTTACTGACACTGGATATTCTGTAGTCACCGCCGACAGGCATACCCTTCGTTCAAAACGAGTGGTGACTTCTCCTATGAACGAGGAGTGTATCTCGCAGTCTCCGACAAGTACGTGTCTTGTGCTGCCATGTTAAAGAAAAGAGCTCTACTGACCGATATGGTGTGATTCTTACAATGCCAGCGGCGGAGTTGTATCCGTTTACACAGATGATACTGTCTTTGGGTCGTCGGGTGCATTCAACGGCGGTAATGCTGTGTGGTGATGCAGTCTGGGCAAGATTAAAACGCAGGTAGATTCATTAGCATAAACAGCATCCAATCTAGTCGTTTTGCATGCGCGAGATTTCTTGGAGTAGCTTCGTCAGGTTACTTTGGGGCTTCTGATTAATAAAGCTGTCAAAGTGAGACCACGAGTAGCCATCGGTGTGTGCGACGTCACTATTAGCGTCTAAGGCACAGGTGTCAGTATTATCCTAGCAAAGAAAAACATAGCAAACAGCGTTTACATACCTGGGTTCATCGCCAGTTGAACACGACCGAGTGCATTGCACTCATACCACTCCGTTTCTTTACTTCGTGACTTGTTCGACAACCCGATCATGGTAGACGCCAATTGCGTACGTAAAGCAGGAGACTGCAGACATTGAGAGAATTTGATTCGCGTTGGCTGCTTGAGATCTCCAAGACCAGCTTGAATTCGCTGAAGCGCGTTAACTTGCTGATCTGTGCACAGGTACAGCATCTCGATGAGCCGAACCACAGCCAAGCAAGCCTGTTCTCCTTCCTGCTGAAGGAACAAGCTCATGTCTTCATTGTCGTCGTTGTCTTTCTTTTTCTTCTTCTTGTCTTCGTCATCGTACACACGCTTCCACAACTGCAGTCCCCAGCCGATCGCTTGGAAGATGAGGTTGTTATTACGCATCTTGGTGGTCTTGGCACGCGACTTTGCCCGTGCCTTCGCCGAGCTTGAAGCGATGCTATCGCTCTGCAACAGAGAAAACAGTCGAGTTCGGAACACCCAGGCTTTCCCTTCTAGACGCTCATATCTTGAATGACACGCATACATGTCTTGCTGAAAGCAATAGATGAAAAACTGCACTACCAGTAAGTTGCGACGCCAACTCTCGTCCCTTTTGGGCTCTCCGTCGTCCCCCACTCGTCCATTTCCACTCACTTCTTGTAACGCCGTCGCTAGTGGCTCCCATTGGTTCGGGAACGTCAGTGCACAGCTACATGACGCAGCCTTATCGAACACAAACACTAGTGCTGCGTAGATAGCCACTGCGTCGTTGTACGCAATGGCTTCGTGGCTCTGGATGCGGTCGATGAGCTCTGCATACAGTAAATCAGATGGATACTCTTTACCGAGCACCACAATACTGCGTAGTGTAGCGATTGCGACACCAGGATCGTTCGTACTTAGTGATGTGACCATGTCGAACACCAGTGATGCGTTCATGGACGAATTGATCGTCGACGAAGGTGTGAATGGCTTCAGTTCGCCCGAACGGTTCGCTGGTGGCGTGCTAGGAGCTGACGCAGCTTTGGCTGTTGCACGTCGCTTGGTTGCTCGCTCTGGAGTCTTCTCAGGGGATAAATAGTCGGCGATAGAGCGACTACGCGTCTTGGACGAGGACCTGGGGTGAGGTGGGGTTTTCGCTATTGTGGGAGTCTTAGAGCTGCTAGACTTGGAGTTTGAACTCACGGTGTTCAATATCTCCTCGAGTTTGACATCGATGTCACTGTCACTGTCGCTGAGTATGCTACTGAGGCCGGTAGAAGCGGCACGACTTGGGCGAGTGCGAGACTTGGACTTGTCATGCTCGTCTAAGTCGCATATAGTGAGTTAGAACACGAATGAGGTACGAGGAGATAGAGGAGAATCAGGTGAATTTAATGAGGCCGCCTAGAGGTAGATACATACCGTCAGAGATGAGGATGACAGTTTCCGCCGCGGCATCGGCCGTAGCCTCCTCCGGCTTGACCTCGTCAGTCATTTTAGGTTTTTGGAGCGTAACGATAGTCATTACCTAGGGGGAGTTTAGTGACATATGAAATTGATAACTTCAAGTTGCCTTTTTTTTCATTTAGAGGTTGAGCGCTGTTGTGGCGTTCTTACGTGTGGGCGAGCCAGTGGATGCGAGTCCTGAGGCATTTGTTGCAGTATTTCCGGTATTGTTGTCGCTAGAGGAGGAAGCGATGAATTTCTGACGGAAAACTTCTGGGTGGATGACCGCGACGTCTTTCGCTTGGTTGTCAACATCCTGCTCCTCATCTTCGGCGTCTTTGGCGCGTTGGGTATTATTTCCACGCTTGAGCGTGGACGGAGGCTCAACGCTACATACTTTGACTGCTGTTGCAGTGTCGCGTTGCTCTCTTCTTCCTTGGTATTGGTGAAGACGGCGTAACGTGTCGCTGTTATTCGGAGTGGAGGAGGCTTCAGTCTCTTCGAGGATTTTGGCCATGATGAACTGCATGATACGCTCCTCGATAGCGCCGATCCGGCGCATTGTACATGACTCTCTTGTTGCCTAAGGTATTCATGAAGAGTAAGGGGTTGGGCAGAATTACCCAAACAATAAAAGCCCTACCGTGCCGTCGAATGCTTCATCGGTACGGTCGTTTGGGAAGAATTCTTTGTGGACATCGTGAACGGGATCGCGAAGACATTTCACTCTGAATCGTAGGTTAAGTTAGTGCGAGCTGGGATTCGGAATGAAGTTTCTAACGTACGCTTCACCATAGATATCTGCGTCCTTTATCCATCGTTTGATGTGAACGTCATTTGCATCGAGAACCTTTTGCAGTTCAGCTAGGAGAAGCAGCGAGCACAAACATCATCAGATCAAGTGCCAACTTATTCAAAATCCAGCATTGAGCAATACCTGACGGTTTCGCTGTGTCGTCGATTGAATCGACCTCTGCCGCCCCAGTGAGGCGTGCAATGTCTTCCGTGAGCTGAGCAATAGACTCATTAAGAGCGGCATCTAATGACTAAGTATTAGTTTAGCAACACAGATTCAAACTAAAAACAAAAACTTACTCGTTGCAGTCTGTTCCTCAATTCGAGCGAAAATTTCGGCCTTGGTGCGCTCTTGCTCGTTATACTTGTGAATAAACTCGCTTAGGTTCTTGACATTCGTCTCCTCTACGATGCGGTCGAGTAGCATCTTCTTTTGTTCGAAGGACACGATGTTCTGCTCCATGCTTACGCTTTTCCACTTAGATGCTCTGTTTCGCATGACCACCACCTCTCCATTAGCTTAAAGTAATCGTGGCAATAGCAGAATATATTTTACTTACTTCAAGTTTTGTTTTCGACGTTGAGCGATATTGTTGTGGAACATGCTGTATTTCTGAAGAAGCCATCCCTTGAGTTAGCTCACTTCCCACAAAACAAACTTCAACGAAATGCACTCACATGAGACACAGGGGCCGGTTGACTTTGAGTTCCTTGTTTGTCCGCTTTCACGATCCCCTCTACCTCTGCCAGTAAACGTTGGCGTTCTAATCGAAATGTCTGCTTCTCAGTGTCAAATTCCAGTTCTGTAGCAGCAATTTCGTTCTTTACATCAACTGCTTGTCGCTTCAGCTGGGCAATCTCCTCTTGGGCTCGTTTCAACTCTTCTTCGTCTTCTTGAATATCTTTCAGCATTTGTTTCTCCGTCGCTAGTGCATCCAGTCTCTTCCTTCGAGTCTCATCGATCGCATGCCGCAGCTTTTGAAGCTCCATCGCACGCTCCGCCATAGCAACTTTAAGACGCTCTTCCGTATGCAGTTGCCTTCCCTTTGCTGTATTGGTATGCACTCGCTTAACTGTATTGGTCTCTGAGCCCTGCGGATCCGTCGTAAGCTGCTGCGGTTTAGCAGCTCCTTTGGTCCCTGTAGTCGACATGACCAACGCTGCAAAAAGGCCCTTGTTGCTAACTGGTTCTTTAGCTTCGATAACATTTTCTCCTTGCTTTGGTGTCTTCTTTCTGTCTCTGAGTTGCTTATTCACCTCGCCCAGCTTGACTTCCAACTCCAGAAGCTTGTTCCTCTCCGTCTGCACCTTGATTAGCGTCAAATCTCCCTCCGTCCGGATGCGGTCCAGTTCCTCTTCATATTGGGAGTGCAGCGGGCTGATGAGGTACTGGTGCTCCACCGAGCCCACCTTCTTCTTCACGGCATCTCTTGCTACCATTTGCAACGGCTACGTTGGAGATGTTGCTGTTATTATTGTGGCCTTATTAATATACACCAGTTGCTGTTCACATTCTAAGGGAAAATGTCAGTTTAGTAGCCTCGAGCTGGTGCCCTCACTAAACCGGCAATATCTTTGCTGCCAAATATCCGATAGACACGTTCCAGGTAGGGGAGAAACAGCCTGATTTAGAATTATTTAAAGAGTTAATTGTTGCAGCTAAAAGTGTTTTAAAGGTGCTTTCCTTGTGATTCCTCGAATTGATGCTCTTGCCAGTTTAGTAGTCCTTGACTTGATTAACCCCAGTGAATTTTGTCCTACGAAAAAGGATAAAACCTCGAGTTAAGGTTTTTTTAAGTTTCTCCTAGCACCAAAATTTGGTAGGACAAAAAAATATAAGCAGGCCGCTGACGGAAACTTCAACTTCCTCGCGTTACGCCCGCGGAAGCATCAATCCTTGCAGCGACGTCGACACACAACACCCTTCACATCTTGTTTGGGGTCAAGCAAGGTTCGTGTGCGCGAGGACGGAACCAGCTCCTAGCAGAACGAGTCATTAACGTTTGCTATGGCAACTTATAGCACTGGAACTCCAATTCTAACACGACATCACGATGTCGGAGAGCGAGAGCAACTCTGACCAGTCTGCTAGCGACTCTGAAGTTGCTGGGGATTCATCTACAGCGTGGAAATTTATTGATGAGCCCTCACCCCAGCTTCACGTAGAGGATGTGGAAGAATTTCTGCTGAGCAAGGCTAGAACAGAGGCAAATCGTGTTGCCAAGAAGTTGTTAGTGCGCATTTTTGGCACTGAACACCGCCTTCCATCAGATGTGACCACGCAAGACATCATGAAAGCTTGGTTGGATCCGTCATTTCTTGCTGTCGCGCAGCGGCACGTGAACAGCAGTCTGGCACAATCTGCGTTCGTATCACGTTCGGATTTACTGAAGTTTTTGCAAGTGGAATTATGGCTGGCATTCTATTCAGTGTCGCCATCAAATTTTTACGAGCGCTCAAATAAGCAGTACTATCCGCCGGTGAAATCCGTTATGCCATCCAAGCGATACTTTGCTATCCTGCGCGCGTTTGGCAAACCCAATGCAGAAGACGATGTATCGTCAACACACTGGAAAGCTCCTTTTCAGCATGATCCTAATTTGTCTCACGCGATGGATGAACTATGTCGACTCTGTTCCAGATTTGGCTTTGTTTCTGAGGTATCAATTGCGAGCCTCGACGACGATTTGCTACGCCTTCGATCGAGTGCAGTGGATGATCTTGGGTTAAATCGAACTCGAAACCCTAAGAAGGGGTACGTTGAGAGGACTGGGAGGCACAATAATTCACAGAACTTACGTTGTTGTTATGAAGATATGGTCCTGTTCAACATGGAATAGTGTCACTTGCGACAGGTCTCTTTCTCGGTGGACATATTGCCTCCAAGGGAGAGACTGTGGTTGATGTAGTGAAGATTCTTCAACGTGGATTGTGTGGAGCAACTACAGACAGTCAGATTCGTTTGCCAGGGATAATGTTTGCGTTAGACAGAGGATATCAATCCAAGGAAGTCAACAAGCAAATTCTGGAGTGTGGGGCTGCGATTATTGGAACACACAAGAAGAATTCAAGTTTTCCTTTCACATTTGGGGCAGCTCCAAAAAACACCAAAAACTTGTCCGTGAGCAAGGTGCAAAATATGCACATTGGGCAGTATCTAAACCTGTGCAGCGGGGTGCAGCTAAACCGAATCAACCTTCATACGCTTTGGCGTACCGATCAGGTCTCGGAAATGTAGTTCTCTGCAACACGTCAGTGGAAGCGGTTGGCCCTGGGAAGTGGTCATATATTGTGGAGCAGCGACAAGCTTCGACTGAAACTACCAGCGACGAGAACACCTTTAAAGTATTTGAGACATCAACCCACTTGCTCACCAAGTCTCAGCGGACCCCAGATTGGTTTCTAATGCGTCAATTTCGGGTTACGGGGATGGTAGCAATAAAAGTGCTCCGTGCAATTGCTAAGGCCCCTTGTGGTGACGGAACTGATAGCGGTTCCTCCGAAATCTGTCAGACACTGGCTGGAACCTCTACAATGCAATTTTTACTCCGCCTTTTGGAAATTCCTCAGTCACAAGGCAATGGACAACGTGATACAGCACTAACTAGGGGTGAGATGGAACGGCTTACATGCGCTGATTTATGACAAAAATGTAAAGTTCAGGGCATTGCAGGCTATGGGAGCAAGGCAACACTAATTGATCGGATTCTAAACCAAGATGATGAAGCAACATCGCCCAGGACGAAATCTCTTGAGGCTGTATTGATTGAGGCATGGTTTTTAAAGCCTAAATCATCGCCAGAAATGAAAACAGGATCCAAAAACGAGGATAGTATTTGCTCGCATCTACCTCCATTCTTTACAGCAAACTCAAGCTTCACAATTCAGCAGATGAAGTCCTATGGACTGTTGTGTCG